GCCTCTTCAGCTCTCACTGGAGCACTGGGCTGGGGACAGGAGGGAGCAGCTAGCTCAGTCTCTCAGTGACACAACTGAGGGATTGAGCCAGCTGGTAATGTCAGGATCTTTCTCCAGCTCACTGTCAGCTGAAAACAGGTCACAGGAGTGCAGAACAAACTGATCCATAGGAGAACTAGAGCCAAAAAAGTTTTGCCTTGCCTTTTTAACTATTTTGAATCCTTATGCTGCTAGTCTTAGTAAATAGATAGGAAGGTATATTATATTAACTTGGCCTAGGCCAAGATAATGTCATACATCCAATTAGTCTTCCTGGGCATTTTTTTTTGTCAGCTGCACTGGAGGAGAAGGAGAATCATCCAATGAGGGTACCTGTCCTGTGAACGCTCCCTAACATGGAAAATCTGTTTACTTTGGAGAGACATTCTCCACCTCATCAAATCACAGAATGTTTTGCATCCATTGTGAAAATGCATAGCATTCTCTGAGTGATGACCATATCATTGTTAGTGTTCCTAAAGATGCCCTGTAGGAGTGGCGAAACGCGTGGAGGTGACATTACTTCCAGCCCATGGAGTGCATGAGGGCCGCATCACTTCCAAGTTTGGTAGAAGCCGATTTATACTGTTTTAATGAGTGCAATGTTTTTATATGCTCGTTTTAAGAGATAAAATACTGCACAATGGTAGATTCCTCTCCCCATGCGTCTTTCATGCTGGGTGAGTTCTTATGAAGTATGACTTACCATCACGAAAGGCAAAGCTACAGAGAGCCCAGGAGGGAAAGCAAATAATACAGAAGTGTAAAGAGGAGGCCAGGATAACATCTAAAGCTTTTTTGACTCTTATGTTAATAGCAAGGGGTCGCCAGAGGGGAACACCTGAGGGGGGGTCACGGAGAGCACAGAGGCACTTGCTGGATGTTATATACATTGAGTACTCTTTGTGGAAGATGGACTTGTATTAATGGACTGATTTTGTACTTTGATATATGCACTTTGTGGGAAGAATGTTGAGAAAAAAATCACAATGAAATAATTACATATTATGTGGTGTTATGAATTTTATTTTCACAAATGTATAGGAATTTTGTTTTACTACATATGAATTGTAACACTGTGGATAAGATTTACCATGTAGCTTGATTGTGTCTAGGTAACTTATGAACAGCAGCTACGGGGGGGGGGGGGGGGGGTGGGGGGGTGAAGGGGGGTAGTTGTAATAGTAGGGATAGAACAGGTTTCTTTAAGGTGTGTTGCTTATGCATAAGCTAGGAGTTAAAGTGGAAACATAATGAAAGACAAATAGACCGTTCACTTCGCTTTTTTTGTTTTCCTTCCATGTGATTGGGTATTCTTTGCAAGATGAAGCTTCACCTCATTTCCTAAGCTCTGGTTACAGAGTGCAACTGAACTTGCAAAGTGCACAGTTTAGTTTGCCTTTGATAAATCAGCTTCACTATGCTCTCTTCATTCTTCTGTTATTATACTGTTGAAGGCTGGCCATAGACTTTGGGGGGAGGTCAGATGTGCAGAAATAGTTTAATGACCCTTAGTGTAAAAAGGATCCATAAACTTGTATGCTCAGCTCTGCCTTTTTTACACAGTATAAACAGTAAAGGAAATGGAGCACACACAACTGGAATCAAATCACAGACTAGGCTGTATTGGAGAAAACGACTAATTGGTCTTGGCACTTCAGTGATGTGAGTAAGGGCAGGAAGATGTGCCACCAATACCATGCCTTGCTCTTACCTATGACAAGCCAAAGACATCAATACAGTTGTTTGACAGAAGCACATTAGGCCATATCCACACAGTTTCCAGCTATTTTGGAACCTATACAACTCTGAAAATAAAAATCTTTATCAACAGCTTGGTGAAAAGTACGGACCTGTATATACATTCTACCTTGGCAAAAGTCGAGCGGTCATGCTGATTGGCTATGATGCTGTTAAAGAGGCTTTGGTTGATAACAGTGACGTGTTCAGTAAAAGAGGAGATATGGCTCTACTAGAATTATTATTTAAGGATTTCGGTAAGATGCTAAAACAAAATAATTATCATGAATTAGTGTTAATTTCTAACTTGTTTATATATGCCTCATTGATACTTGTACCATATAAACCAGCTGCAATAATTTAAATGGTTTTAAAATAAAGACACTCAATAAAAATTGTAAAACCAAGATTGTATTAAAGGCACATACTAGCCAAACGTAAACATTTTACATAGGAATACACACAGGGAATCCAACATTCCTGGAGTTATTTTTTTTCTGTTTGATGAGCATGCTGATGTACTGTAAGTTTGGGGCAATGTGCTTTCAGTTTTGCTATTGTGACAGAAGGGGGTCATGGGCACAGACACCAAAACGTTGATGCTAGTGGACCCTAAAAAACGTACTCGTTAGCCGTTTATAAAACGAATAGCTTCCTGAAAATGACAGGCAGAGAGTCATCTCCCTCTAAGGGAAAGTTAGACCTTCTTTCTAGTTTCTGTTGTATAAGCCTCTGCTATGTTCAGCTTTTGGATAGATCCCCAAGCTATTAATAGGTGGAGCTGAAAGTGTGTAAGATCATAGCGAGTGTGTGATCAAGATGGAGTAGGTGAAATAGGAACTAGTACCCACACAATACTCTTCCCTTTTGTGATCCTAAAACTGTTCTAGGACATCTATGGTGGATCAGGTGCCACTGATGAAAAAGGGGGCTGTACAGCCTGAATTATTTATATGTAAACCATTGATGTGGATTTCAGTGACATTGACTTGTACATTACCAATTATTTAGATACATTGTCAATAAAAGAATGTGAAAGGTAAGAATTGCCTAATTATTATTTCACACAAACAGGATAATGGAATAGGCCTTAAAGTGGCAGTGAGCACAATCTATACCCGGGGGCATCACAGCAGCCAGCTTGCTCAGGAGTTCATGTACTGGTGACAATGGCCCTAGCAATGGAGTGGTCAGGTAGGTTCCACAGGCACACACTTTAGGAGGTCTAGGCTACCATTATGCGATGCTCTGGGACAAAAAAAAGGATCTAGGATGATGATCTAGTATGGATTTTGGGGGAACCCCCCATGTTCTTTCAACCATAGAGAAACCAATGACTGTGTGGCACCCAACATCCTAGCACCCGGCATCCTAGCAACCAAAAATGTAATAAGTTTGATAGGATTACAAGCAGCCAGCCCACACGACATTCTTGGTGGCCAGGATGCATGTAGTTACAGTAGAAAGTTTTTCATTTAGTGCTTGGCCATCAATGGAACCTCCTCCCTATTAGTTGGAATGTAGAATATAGCCAAGATGTTTCAATGGAATTAGAGTCCCCCTTCTTCAGGTATTGAGCAGAGTATCATAATTAGATCCAGAGTGTTGCACATCATAATAAACCAATGTGGGGTGAGCTGCTGGATTCACTTCAGCTGGTGTCAATCCTGTTAGCCGTATATTTATGTTTGTACATAGCGCAGATGTATTAGTCACCATTTACAGAGTGCTTAAAGTCATTCACTTACGGCCTTTTCTCCAAAAGAACTCAAGATCTAATGCCTCTATTACACTCATACACACAGACCACTCCATGAGGGAGCCAATCAACCCAAAGTATTGCTTTCTAGATTTTGGCCATGTAACGTTTGCATAGAGACGACCCCACCTCATGAGGTGAACGTGTTGGCTGTGTTTGTCAGTGTGGACTCAGAATAGTGAATATGTCCCTTTTACTGGCACTTTTGCAATTAAATTATCAGTATGGAAGAGGTACCATAGTGTCAGAGAATCAAGGGCACCACATCCCATTAAAAAATATATATTTGTTATGAAAAAAGAAAAGAGACTTTAAAGCTGCCAAGACCCATACAAATTTTCTATCATAAAACTTATGACAATATTTTTATTACAAAAATATTAAAAGTGCAATCACAATACTGGATATAAAACCACCACAATTTTCTAGTGCGGCATCTTGGAAGATGGAGCGGTCTGCGTAGTCGCATATGTGCATGACATCACTTCCTTGTCAGGGTTGGCACGCATGCACGGTGGTGCCAATGGGCATCTGCATTTTTCCGGTGATGTCAGATGCCGGCGGGGTGGGAGGGGCATTTAAGGCCCAACATAATGGTTGATTGTTTCGCTGAGGCTACTAGTGTGTAAGATGCCTCTTGTGGGCGGGACATGTGACTGGTCCTCGGTGAGCATAACAGAGAGTATTGTGGGGCAAGCTAATGACTCCTATGGATGGTGCTTATGGGTTGGCTCTCTGTTCATGCTAGTCATTTTCTCCTTTTTTTCTCCTTGTGTTTTATAGTTTGCACTTTGGAACCAGTATTAGGGTTTTTCTTGGTTGTCTATGGAGTGTAGCATGATTTTCTGTTTTGAAGGGGGTCCCTTTCTGGGTGTTGATGTCTTTTTGTCATCGGGTATATGAGCATCTTCTGGTGGGTAGGTGCATGTGTGTGTTACTTAGGTACTATTGTAGGGATGATATATATATATGTACATATATACTCTAATGGTTAGGGTATATGGTTTTTGTTGTTATCATCCTACGCGATTCCATGCATATATTTAAAAGGTTTTTCCCCTTCTATGGCCACAGTCATCCAAACCTGGAGACCAACTGGTGCAGGATTTATTGTTTATTTTTGGATATCAATTTATCTTTGAATATTTCATACATATATTCTTGACCCGGATAATATAGTCCTCCAAGTGAATTCAATAATTAAAAGTTTGTCTATGTATATATGTACTTGCTGTATTTTGATATACATTGAATGTACTTGCTAATTTGTTTGTTGATGGAGCAATAAGTGTTATTTTATTGTTTTAGTGGCATTCTTGCAGTATTCATAATTCTCCTGAAGAAGCCAAAATTGTGGAGAAACATGTAGAGCTGAATTATACTGCACAGACCCTCAAGCCGAACTAGAAAATTGTGGTGGTTTTATAATCAGTAATGTGATTGCAGTTTTAATATTTTTGTAATACAAATATTGTCATCCGTTTTATGATATAACATGTGTATGAGACTTGAGTCGTGGCACCTTTAAAGTCCCTATTCTTTTTTCGTAACAAATATAAATCATCAGTATGTTTTCAGATTAAGGGAGAAACCTATGCAAAGACATTGAGAACACTCAAACTTTAAGCTGATAGTGTCCCTGGTGGGATTTCATGCTAAGGACATGTAACAGCAAGGCAAATAATTTTAAGCACTGACTTGCTGGAAAAGGTACATATAATAAAGTTAAAGAGACAGTGGGAGAGTCAAAAAGCCATTGTTTAAAATGTGTGAATTTTTAGGGGTCCTTCAAGAGTAATATGTTATTAAGTCTTTAAATTTTTTTAGGGTTATGATGAGCAATGGAGAGAGATGGAAGACGATGCGTCGCTTTTCCCTATCAACACTGAGGAATTTTTGGGATGGGGAAGAGGAGTGTGGAGGAAAGATCCAGGAGGAAGCTTGGTGTCTCAGGGACAGATTTATGAAGAGCAAAGGTAGGTGAAGAAAATGCTGAATTAGAACAATGGTAACTCCAAACTTACTTTTATATGGAATTACCCAGCCTATTGATCTAAACTAATCATTTCCTAACACCATTTTTTAAAAAATCCCTACTACTAGGCTGGAGTGACAGTATAATGTGATATGGTGAAATCTACCCAGGATTATATCACCTTGCATGTGATAAAAAAATCTGAACATTGATGGAGGCTGTAAAAATGTGAGTGAGTGAGTGAAGTAACCAAGCTGCGGAGTCTTAACAGTCATTTTGGGAAAGACCCACCAATTCACAGTACCATCCAAAAAATGGCTTAGCACAGGGGGTGGGCAAACATTTTTTGACTTGAGGGCCGCAATGGGTTCATATCAATATTGGACCCGGGGGCCGGACCAAGAGTAGATGAATGATGTGTATGTGTCATCCATAGTAAGTATAGTAATATTCCCCCATAGCAAGCATAGTAATTAATCCCCCATATAGTAATTCATCCCCCATAGTAATTCATCCCCAGTAGTAATTCATCCCCCATATAGTAATTCATCCCCCATAGTAATTCACCCCCCATAGTAATTAATCCCCCATATAGTAATTCATCCCCCATATAGTAATTCATCCCCATAGTAAATTCATCCCCCATATAGTAATTCATCCCCCATAGTAATTCATCCCCCCCAAGTAGTAAGCCAAGTCCCCCCTGTGTCAATTCACTTACCTTTGCTCCGCGCGTTCCTCTCACCGTGTTCCCGCGCCGTTCCGGTCTTCAGGGCGGACTGTGAGAGGAGCCTAGCTCCCCTCACGTTCGTCATGCTGCCCCGCCTACACACATCCTGACAGCCATCCTGACAGTATCACGCTCCACGGGCCGGATTAAAAGGTCCGCCGGGCCGTAGTTTGCCCATTGCTGGCTTAGCATGTTGATAAAGGGAGGAGGGAGGAACCAGGGAAGGCAAAATATAAACACATTAAACTTCAGCTTTATGTAGCGCTGCCCCATGAAGGAGCCACTGGTTAAGGTCCTCTGTTTCTGGCCTCAACCTTCTCAAAGACCTCAGCCCCTCTGACAACACAGGCCAAATGCATAAACATGCAATATTACAAATCACCCTAATGGTGACACTAATCACCCAGCAATATGGCTATTTCAAGAAATAGGCACCGACAATAGTAGTAAAAAAACTTAATATATTGTCGCCAAACAAGTTAGCAATGAGGCTGGCAAAGGAAAGAAATGAATAAAAGTTATGATAATACACTTTAGTTTACAGACTAATTAGCAATAAGGACAGGGCATAAAATGACACTTGCCATCTAGATCAGCATAAACAGTAACAGTGCCACCTGCAGTGCAGCAGTCAGCATTAATACTATAAGACTTAATTTATAAACCACCGCAGAAAAAACTGTCAGGGCGTACTAATGGCGGCTATGCCAGGCCTAAAACCATCTGGTAATAACTGTCAGTATTGTATATGACAAGTAATGGTAGAGCAATGGATTTTTAAATAAAGTATACCAGGTTGTGGCCTTGGGCACATCTCTGCAGGTAGCAGCTCCTTTGGGATTGAAACCGGAGTATGGTACAGATACAGAAACCAGGACAAGCTGAAACCAGAATTGGTAGTGAACAGTCAATACAAGTGGAAGTCAGTAACCAGAGAAATAAGAATACTGTTGATCAACAGGCTGAAGGAAGATAGGCACAGATTGATGTGTTCAGTCTGGTCATTGGACTGTGGATAGCAGGCTGAAGAGAAATTCAACTGGGCTTCTAACAAATGGCACAGTGTTTGACAGAAGGGTGAGGTAAATTGAACTATGTAGGAAGAAAGACCATGAGGCAGGAACACTTCCTGAAAGAAATGGAGCAGAGAAGAAAAAGTATCCACATTGACAAGAATGACTTTTGCAGCTCCTGGGGGGGGGAGTCAAATCTGTGACAAGGACACTTAGGTACAGTTAAAAAAAGAAATTAACCATAAGGGAACTTTTAAGAGACCTCTTTTGGGCACACATAGTTGCTCACATCATGGTGAAATGTGGGCCATCCGTACTGTGAAATAAAGTTTTGTGCATTCCTCAATAGCCAGCAAATGTGGAGATGTGTCCCCATGCTGGGATATGAGAAGAGAGAACCCTGGATACAAACTGCCCTTTGGGAGGTATCCCTTTCAGGCATACTTGAGCTGCAAACAAATCTTGTAAGGTCACTAATGTATGATCAGTATACTCAGGATCTAAAGGGACAAATGGCATGATGAGATATGCATAATGGCCATCTTCACCATCAGTGTTGAAAGATGTTTTTCTATCATCATCCACTTTGAAAAGGTTGTAAGCTCCTTGAAGATGTAGCTTCAAGAAAATGGACACTGGAAAGTTCAAAAAAGTTCAGGAATCGAAGATAGAAGGTATCTATTCTTAACTTTTACCCTATTCAAGCCCCAGTAATCTATTCAAGGATAGAAGGAGTCATCCCTCTTGCCCTGAAAGAGGAGACCAACCCCAGCAGGTAATTGAAGGTATTCCCTGACATACTTAAACATGGCTTGGGTTTCTGATCTAAACAGGGGTTATACAAGGTCACAAGGTGCAGTGGTTCCAGACAGGAATCGATGCAGCATTCATATGGATGATGAGAAGAGTTTCTGCTTGTTGTTTATGAAAGACATCTTCAAAATCCCAATAGGGTCTAAGAAGTCCAAACAGAGGAGCAGTCTTAGCCACACAGATGGAACAGGCTGGTTTGACCGTCACAAGGTGTAACAGACCAAGCCTGGGCAAGGGCTTTTGGAGGGGACTAGGGGCTAACCTTCAACCCACTGCTTAAGGCCCATAGAGAGAACAAATCATTCTCTAATGATGGGCAACAACATAATGAAGGCTGAGAGTGAGGCTTGGATAAATAATAAAGACAGTACAGCTTCCCTTCTGGAGTGAATGGAAAAATGTATCTTAATCTTATACAGGCATAGTCAGAGGAAATATGGGGACTTTCTGCAGACTGGGTTGGAAAACCTCCACTTGGGACAGAAATATTTATCAACAATCTCCCTCAGGAAATCTATGAAGATAGATGAATTCCACACTTTCAGACTGTTGGAATATTGTATTGTATGTATTGTTTTGCCTTATTATGAACAAATTACACAAGTGAAAGCAAACACCTGAAAGATAGCATGTGTAATTTAATTTGTGTATTCAGGGGTGGAGGCGTTGGACTGTCTGGAGTGGGCTCCCTGGCTTTTCTGAGTGCTTGGAGGTTGATTATCTTACTGTTAATTAGATCACTGTTACATGTTAGTTGCTAGCTGTTGATTAGCTTACTGTAGACTAGATCACTGTTAGCTGTTGGCTGTAGTGTTAATGAGAGAGTGTGGGTGGAGTTCTGGCATACCAAGCAGAATCTGATCCACCAACTTAGGTATGAAAAGGCATGTCATAGTTTCAGTATGAAGGAAGGTTATGAAAGAGATGGCTTAGAAATCAATTTACTAATGACCACTAAAGTAAGAATGGTGCTTATGTTTGTGCTTATAGACGAGGCTTTTCATTGATAAAATTAGAAGCAGCTCCAAAATCTAGGTAGGCTTTAGCCTAGAAGGTCTGATCAAAGAAGAGGAGCTGATTTATGTAGTAAACATTTTTAAAGGGAATGAGATATGGTTATCCTAGGGAATCCTCCATCTGATACCCTAGGCAACAAGTTTTAGGTGATAGAGAGGATAGCTGTTCTTTTAATGGCACTTAACTCCATAGTACATGCATAGACTCTTGAAAATGTTCAAAATTGAAGTCTGAAAGGTTAGACCGATCTGTCTTTTAGTATTCCGCTGGAGTTTCAGTAGGTTCCAAAGAGTTGACAGGCTGAGCAAAACTAAAAGGATCTAGTGATGATGGGACAGCATTCTCTAACCAAATCTAAACTAATCAATTGTGGCATCCAGGTTCTCATGCAGAGGATAGTGTACAAGTGAATCACTTCAGATAAACCTAGATGGAACTAAGAGCAGACAGTAGGGTCATTTCACAATGTCCCTGTTGCATGGAAACGAAAGCAGATTTTGGATATACAGCCAGATTCAGACAGTAACAGAGAAGCCAAGCCATCTATTTGAAGACTAAAGGCTAAAGACTGAGAGTTTCCTTTAATCAAAGACAAAATCAAAGCTTGCAGACATTTTTGAACTAGAAAACATCTTGCAATGACCTGCAAAGTGGAATGGGAAGTAGCATACTACTAGAGCAGATAGAGGTACAGATCTGCTCTGCAAGAAAGTCTGCAGTTGATTGGTGTGGCTATACAGGTCCTGAGGTGTCTGAATAACTTGATCAGACTAAGCCTTTAGATGCTCAATTTATTGTGGAGGGGCCTTCAAGAAACTTGGGTTATGTCAGTGGGGACCATGGCCCGGTCTCACTTCCAAGAACTAACATAACCTGGAGGGCTAGCAAATGTGCCTATTGTCAAATCAACAGGTGTTGAACTGAGTACAGCTAATTAGTGAATTTGGTTGATTTGATTTAGTAAATCAGCCTCACATTGTTTCTACTGACTCATGTGTAATTGCTTAGTATTTACCGAAGGTCCCAATGCACCTTCAGTGGTTTGCTAAATTTTAGATACTGATGTCTGCTATGAAAATATTGATTGATTCTGTTTGTGTAATAATAGATAAACCAATTAACCCGATTCATCTGACAAGACAGTCTGTCTCTAATGTCATCTGCTCCATTGTATTTGGTGAGAGATTCGACTATCAAGATGAGAAGTTCATCATACTTATGACACTGTTTGAAGAAATGTTGACCCTGCTGAACTCTGGATTAGGCAAGGTAAATATATATATATATTATGAGAGTATGTATGTACACTCTACATTTATTTTTATGGTGCTGCCATATTCTGTAAATGCTAACTTTATGCAGATGGTGTACTTTATTGTGTAAATTAAAGTTCCCAGTGTTACAAAGTCTTAGTGCTTCATTAAGATCCTCATTACCCTTTAAAGCATATTTAAACCCAAAAATAAAAAGGTATTGCAGCTAACTAGCACTTAGATGTGTTGGCTGCTTTAGTTTTTCCCATTTCTAAGGGGTAAAAACATTTTCAGCAAGTAGAGAAAATACCTGTTGATCTTCCAGAACGTGTCCTTGTTACTTCTTGTGAGCTGAAAGAAAGACCAAATATCCTTATTGTTCTTATGAAAAGTAATAATCCAATCAATCCACCATGTAATGGAGATGAACAAAGGCAGACATGTTTTAAAGAATATGTAAACCCAACATTTCCTGATATTTGTCTACTGTACCTTGTACCTGTATGAGAAAGTGTCTTGTTAATGTTGTATTGCTTCCTTTGTGTAAAGTTGTGTAGGTTATGATGACAACACCTAACTAAGGTGGAGGTGTAGAAAATAAGAAAGGAAAAAGGGTGCGCATTACCTCAATAAAACTTTAATCATACAAAGTAGCAGATATATACTCACAAACAACAAATGTACAAAGGCATGTCATGACCGACAATAGTCCATGGTCTAAAATGGTGCACAAATCCCACAAGCAAAAGGACGCTTGAGAATAGTTGATGCGTTTTGAGGAGCGATCTCCTCTTCATCAGAGGTGTACTGGTAAAATAATATATCATTTTCTAATTAACCTTGAGTTTTATTTTCAACTCAAATGTTTCAAAACTTCTGTTTTGAGGAACAGAATGTGGCCTGACTGGTCCAAGCCCAAATGGGGAAGCCTCCAGAAGGATGACATGTCCTTTTCCTTTCCCTACTCGTCTGGAACCTCTCCCTGTCTCTAATTACTGTCCTTGTCAGACAGGTAACCTGTCTCTACACTACCCGCATACGAAATGCACACCAAGTCTGGGAGACAGGGCCTTAAGCAGGCTCTGCCTGACCCAAGATAGGTGCTAGAGTCACATGGGATAGTAGCATCCAACTGGATAGCTTCCCCAGTGACCCTGGAAACCATAGAGGAATCATGTTCCTCTTGACTTCTTCTCCCCCTGTAATGTTGCTGCGGTTGAGCTCCACCTGCAGTGGAGAAAGTAGACTGAACCTGCCTACAACTGCAAAGTCCTGTACAAAATATTGTGCTCCATTTATAAATGGGACCCAATATGTAATTTTAAACTTCTTGTCTAAAACAGTCTTGTAAACAAAGACATTTTAATCCCAGCCCACCACTATCAAAAGATGAATGTGGATTAGTAAAGGGCAGGAAAACTCTGAATATTGGAGACCTATTTTGATGAAGTTCAATATTTTAATATGAAATGTTTGTGATGTAAGGGAGATGTATTGCTCATTATTTAATGCCTGAATTAAACATTTCTTTCAGTTTCTTACCCTGTTCCCAAAATTAATGAGCCAAATCCCTGGTCCTCACCGAAAATTTTTCCAGAATTTTGAAAAGCTTAAAGAGATTCTACAAGATATGGTGGAAGCTCACAAGGAGACATTGGATGAGAACTGCCCACATGACTTTATAGATTGCTTCCTCATGAAAATGGAAGAGGTAAGAATGTTTTTAATTCTTGGTCTAGAATCTGACTTCTTTTCTAAAGCTAGGAAGATTTTAAAAGGATTTCTCATCTTTTAATGCAAGGTTTGTAAGAAATACAAAAGTGCCAAATTGTACTATTTTTACCATAATATACACTTACAGTGGCTTTGTTGTACATTTTAAGGAAGTTTGAAGCTGTAAAATGTACTCCTGCCAGTATTAGACATGTGCGATTTGTTTCATTATGAATCGAAATTTAAATTGAATCACTGAATCACAATGGTAACAAATTTCAACGAATTTAAAATTAATTATATTGAAAACAATTAATTAATTTGCATTCATTTGCTTCCTTCGGATGGCATGATGCAATAGTTTGGGCCTTTTGTTAACCTTCTGAAGCTTCCAAAATAACATAATGACGTATCCAGTAATCTGAATTCATTTGGATCCTTTTGTTTTATTTGGATGAGGCTGGCACGGTAGTCTTTGACTCTTGGATAAAAAATGAAATGGAAACATATTACAATAAATACAGTAAGGTATAAAAGTGAAATAAGATTATTTCTACTTATTGTGTTTGGGTTGGATGGAGATGGATCAGTCAAAATCTCTGAATCTTAACAAGATGAAAGAATTTAATTTTGTTCCATTTGTTACTTTCGGATGCTTTTGACTCCAGTCAATAATGTCCAATCACCTCATTCCATTTCTCTTTGTGGGTTGGACTATCAGGGATGAATCAGAGTGCATAAGTGCATAAGTAATCTCCTGAAATAACAAATTAACACAATAAAATGAATATAGCCATATTTCCGAAATTACTTTTGAACATACGAATCAATTTGAAGCAACAAATAAATAAAACACATCTGATTATACAAAACAAATTCCCAAAACGAATCATTCTAACATAACGAATATGACGAAACAAAATTATTTGCTTAACAAATGAATCCAAAACAAAATGAAACAAATTTTCTCATTGTGCACATCTCTGGCCAGCATATTGATTATTTAATCTGTGTGAGTTTTAGTTTATGATTAGCCTAGTGCCTAATCCAGTGGGCAGCTGTCCAAATCCATAGTAAGGGGTGAAAGTGCAAGAAGAAGGAAGAGATTCTTTCAGTTCTCATGACTGCTAAGAAGCATAGGCTCAGTCACAACTAACTAAAAACCATGCCTTGCCCAAAAATTATACAGAAAATAATTAAGTTGGAAAAGGGCAAGGCCACTTACCATCAGTGAAAGGCAGGCGTTAGACTGACACAAATTTCAACAGGGGCGAACTGACCATTTGGAAACTTGGGCACTGCCCGAGGGCCCAGGGTCAGTAGGGGGCCCCATGAGATGTCCCTGGTACCTTTTTCCTAGGCTTTTTTGAGTCTGGGCAAGGACACAGGGGCCCCATGATCCCCTATTGCCCAGGGGCCGCATGAGTTATCAGTCCACCCCTGCTCGAGGGTATAACCTATTAAAGCAATGTTAAGTGCTGACAAGGTCTAACCACCAATAAAGCTGTGACAAATTACCACAGAGCTGGCGGGTGGACGAGCAACTCTTCTAAAGGCTGAATTTCCTCAGGTCAGTGAGTATACTCAGTGAAGTATTTTTCTAGAGTTCAGGCTCCACCCATTTACCTCAAGTCCTTGATGCTAATCCTGGTGGAGCCACTTAACTTCAACGCCCACTATATAGCCATGTTTCCATCAGTAAAGGCTCTCTCTCCCCAAAGGTTTCAAGGAGCCTTCATGCTCCACTATTAGAAGATAAACAACCAGAAAAAAAACCCAGTATGAGCCAAGATGAGTTATTGTTAGTGGGGACTGCATAGAGAAAAGAGGCATGTATTGAATATATATGGATTTCAGTAGTCTTATGTCATATTTGGTTGCTAACTTTATTCTGAAAATATTTTTCAGGAAAAGAACAACCCAGAAACAGAATTTCATATTACTAACTTACTAGCAACAATAAATGACTTGTTCTTTGCCGGGACTGAGACGACAAGTGTAACCCTGAGATATGGCTTCCTGATACTACTCAAATACCCTGAGATACAAGGTAACACAATTTCTTTTAACTACAACAATAAGTATGATTACTACTCTGTGTTCATTGTGCACTCCCATTCCACCACATCTGCCTGATGAGTAAGGGCCAAAGTCAATGAGCTTCTGTTCACTTCAGTTGGGTTTTGCTTATCTGTACTAGTCTATGGGAGTGCAAAATCCACTGGACAAATGCAGATCAGAAAAAGGGCAAATGCACCTACAAATAAATTGTGCTGACAAACTGATGCCATCAATGCGAGCCCAAAGCCTGTCAATACAGACAGTTATTATCCAGATATTGTGGCACTGCACCAGTAAATACCACTCCCTACAAACTGGTGATCCTAGACCACGCCATCTGGTTATTTTAGAATATACTGCTTACCGAAACTCACACACAGAAAATCTGATGTCCAAAAGATTCCCAGTATTAGGAATTTTTTCACAGCCAACCTGTTTTGGAAGATTAAATATGATTGACAGTAAAGTTGAAGAACCACCTTAAGAGTCACAATATTGTTGCCAACATCCCAGAGGTATCAAACAAAGTTCCATATTTATAATAAAAATGATGTTATTTTTACTTTAGTATGTTGCCCAAAAAATCCCATTACTGATTTGGGGAATATCCTTAGTTAAATATGGTTGACAGTGACAAAATTATAGCCATTGCAGAAGGCAGCTGCTATGGGGCTGGGGAACAAAAAGGGGCCCCACTAAGGGGGTTGTCTGATGTTGCTGTTCCAGAGAAGATAGGGGACCCTGCCCCTTAGTTATTTAAGAACTGTCAGACAGCAGAAGCCTTCATCGGCAGCGGAGCTGTGACAGAGGGAATCATGATTGATGATGAATCTGCACTGTCAAACATTTTTTTTTTGGTTCATTGCCAAGCAGCTGCCCTGTTGCATAGTGAACACAGGAGGTTGCTTTCTTGGCTCCTGGTGCCATTCACGGAATGCCTTGAATTTCTCAGTGAATGGAAGGCATTCTTTGAATATACTGTATGCGATGGGGATCTTGGGAGGAACACAGTGGTAATCCCCTATGGTTACTATACAGCAGGGCAGCTGATCAACACAGGACCCAGAAGGCAGTGGCAATCATATTAGTAGTGGAGGCTACTTCAGTGATTTCCAGTTTTCAGAGATCAGTTGATATGGAATATGCATGTTTACACTGGACCAATGTAACTATGCTTCATCCATACCTGGAATTCAGCTTTAATCCCATAAATTTAACACAGTGTACTTGAGGCTAAAGCTTACAAGTGATACAATATTTGAGGTTTGTAATTCTACAAAAAAGCCACAATGTAAAGGAATAAGGCCAAAGCTCTTTTGGCCCTACTTCTCCTATGAATCACAGGAGTGCACTTCATTCTGCATCCCGTGATCCACTTTCATTGGACAGCAGGCTAAAGCCTGCTGTCATCTGATGTCACAGAACCGGTCCAGGCTCTGAACCTGTTGCAGATTAGCTCAGCATGGGAAAAAACCACACAATCTTGTTAGTAGGCTTTGCTGTGTGTGACAAAATAAACACAAATTATTTCCAATGTATGAATATTACTAATCTCAGATAAATGAATAATTACAGATGTGACAACAACCTAATTTTTTTACACTCTTCTCTTTCTGTGTTCTCTAGAGAGGATCCATAAAGAAATCGACAATGTAATAGGCAGTAATCGCTGTCCATCAATGGAGGACAAGAGTAAGATGCCATATACAGATGCTGTCATTCATGAGATCCAGAGATTTGCCGATATTGTACCAACAGGACTACTCCATGCAGCCAGCAAAGACACCACGTTTAGAGGATATCACATTCCAAAGGTACACTTTTCCAAGTTCCAAGGTGGTCTAGGATGTCTCTGTCTTTTGTCTATCCATCTAGTATGTAATTCAAAAAGGCCTAAATCTGGTAGTAGATGGGCAAATTTCTTCCTTACGCCAAACAAGTAAATTTTTGCTTTAGATAAATTTTAAAAGTCGGATCCCCATTGAATCCTTCCGGTGTCCAAAACCTGATCATAAAACCAGATATGTACAATGTATCTCACAGCAGCATCTGAAAAGAAGGAATATTAAGGCAGATTTACTAAAGCCGGTTCACTCTGAATCTCATGCACCTGTGCATGGTAGCCAATCAGCTTCTAACCTCTGCTTGTTCAATTAAGTCGTACTAATAAAACCTGTAGTCTGATTGGTTTCAGTGCAGACTACACGAGATTCTGAGTTAACTAGTTTTAGTAAATAAATCCCATTTTGTAGATTACAGGCTAGTTCACCTTTTCCAGAAAACAGCCTGTATAGTCAAAGGGTCCCAGCAGTTAATTTAAAAAAAACAATTGTGCAGCTTTGTAAAATGTTAATGTATTTCATTGCCATGCCTGTAGACCATTCGTCGGGCACCCCTGGAGAGATGACTGAAAAACTCACAATTAGCAATCCCCACATCCTGCATGTTCCTAGGATGAGAAACACTTGGATTTATCCAAGTAGTGCTGGAAGTGAGCATCCAACAGTTTTCATAACCTAGCAACAAGGCAGGTTATGGGGACTGCTAACTGAAAGTTTTTTGGCCAGGTTTCCAGGGAGACCTAATGGGCCTATAAGTATGACAGTAAAAATAATGATAAAGCTGTACAGGTTTTCTACTGGGTCCTTTGACTTCATATGCTATATTATTGAAAAGGTGAACTTAGCCTTTAAACCATGCCCAATTAAGGCCAAAATCACCAAGAACTATATAAATTAAATAAATTATTATTACAGAATATAAATGATTGCTTGTATAATTGTCTAGCTAAATTTCGGTGAAAGCCCATCTCCAAGCACAAACAAAAAAATAAATACCATTGCAGTGGGGCCCTCCCACATTGCAAGGTTTTAAACTCTAGGGGTTGCAAAAGATTGTGTAATATAATTTACTTACTGACTTCCTGCTTTAGCAGGCTTCCTCATTTCTTGTGACCGATCCCACGCAACCTCTTCTGTAAGATGCTCCCAGTCCACAGTCGCATGCTCACCCCCATCGTGTACAACACAGAGTTAATAGTCCTGCTTTGTACATAATAACGCCAAGGCTTCATCCACAAACCATGAGCTTCAGAGGGAAGGAAGAGAATGCCAAAGCTGGTTATCATGAAGGTAACACTGCTTATTCTGCAACCCTCAAAACCTGACTAGCATTCAACCCTTGCAGTGTGGAGGAGCCCCATTGGAAGTTTTTTCCTTGTTGGGCTTTAAGGTAACGTAGTTTCTTCTGCTAACTAAAAAATGTCATATCCTAAACTACAGTCTGTATTATTTCTAGGCCCTATGATACTCCCTTCTTTTTTAAGACTTCCTTGATTTTTGTCTGCACGTGTTTCCAGCTAACTCATTTATTTATTTATTTTTTAATTTTAGGGAACTTTGGTGTTTCCAGTCTTAACTTCAGTTTTAAAGGACCCCACACAGTTCACAAAAACCCTCATGAATTTGACCCTGGACATTTCCTTAATGAGAATGGAACTTTTAAAGAAGAGTGACGCCTTTATGCCATTTTCTGCAGGTACCATTGTTGTAGTTAATTACAAGTATAGCTAATCGTTTTTAGGATATACAGTTAATTTAGGCATAATTCACAAAGCTGACACATCATGATTAGGAATGAGCTTGGATTTGGCCCAAACCTGTAGTTAGCTGTCATTGCTGGGCCAATGAGCTTTGGGGTGGGAGATTCCCTACCCTGCAGCTGCACATTATACAAAAGGACAGGGATGATTGTGACTAGGGATGAGCGAAGAAATGAAAAATTCGATTCGTGAATGAGGAGGAGAAGGAGAAGTTGGAGAGAGATGAGAAGAAGGAGAAATGGAGAAGTTGAGAAGGATGAGATTAGAAGGAGAGATAAGGATAGAAGGGATGAGAAGAAGGAGAAGAAAATGAGAAGAAGAAGAAGGAGAAGGAATGAGAAGATGGAGAAAGGAGAAGGATGAGAAGAAGGAAGAAGGAAGAGAAGAAGGAGAAGGAGAAGGATGAAAGGGGGAGAAGGAGAAGATGATTGGGGAGAAGGATGAGAAGAGAGGAAGGGGGGAAGGGAGAAGGGAAGGGTGAGAAGGGGGAAGGAGAAGGAGAAGGATGAGAAGAAGAAGGAGCAAGGAGAAGGTGTAAGGAGAAGAATGAGAAGGATTGAAGAAGAAAGAAAGAGGAGGAAAGTGATGGGAAGAGGGATAAGAGAGAAAGGAGAAGAGAAAGGAGAGAGGAAGAAGGGGTGAAAAAAGATGAGGGGATGAAAAGAAGGAGGAGAGAAGGTAGGAGAAGGAGAAAACGTGGGATGGAAGGAGTGAGGAGAAGGAAGGAAAAGGGAAGGAGAAGGATGAGAGAAGTATAGAGGGAAGAAGAATGAGAAGAAGGAGAAGGATGAAGAAGAAGAAGAGAAGAAAGAATAATGAGAAGATGAGAATAGGAGAGAAAAGGAGAATTGAGAAGGAATGAAAAGGGAGGCGATGAGAAGGAAGGAGAAATGAGTGGAAGAAGAAGGATGAGGAAAGCGAAATTAGAAAATGAGAAAGAGGATAAGAAAAAGAAAGGATGAGAAAGAAGAGAAGAATGAAGAGGAGAAGGGAAGAATGAAGGAATGAAGGAGATGGAGAAAAATGAGGAAGAAGAGGTAAGGTAAGAAGGGGAAAGAAGGATGAGATAGAAGGAAAATGATGAAGAAGGTAGGAGAGAATAGAAAAGAAGGAAAGGATGAGAAGAAGGAGAAGGGGTATGAGAAGAAGGAGAAGGATGAAAGAAGGAGAAGTGAGAAGGAAAGGTGAGAGAGAAGGATGAATGAAGATGAGAAGAAGGAGAAGGATGAGAAGAAGAAGGAGAAGGATGAGAGAGGAAGAGAGAATGAATAAAGGAGGAAGGTATGAGAAGGAAGGAAGGAGAAGGAGAGAAGAAGGAGAAGGATGATGAAAGAAGAGAAGTGATAGAAGATGAGAGAAGTGGGGGAGGAGGAAGGAGAAGAAGGAAGAGATGAGAAGGAAAAGGAGAAGGATGAGGAAGAAGGAAGAAGGAGAAGGAAAAGAATCGAGGAGAAGGAGAAGGATGAGTCAAGAGATGAGGAGAAGAGAAGGGAGAAAGTGTAGAGAGAGAAGGATGAGAAGAAGGATGATTGAGAAGGATTGAGAAGGATGAGAAGAGGGAAGAGAGAAGGATGGTAGAAGAAGGAGAAGGATGAGAAGAAGGAGAGGATGAGAGAAGGATGAAGATGAGAAGAATGGAGAAGGATGAGAAGAAGGACAGGTTCTAAAGTGACAGTTTCTGTCTATTTCTGACAGTTCTGGGACATTCACTCCATACAGCTGGAGAAGGGAAACAAAAACCAATGGAGGAATAGAAATCCCAGAACGGTTCCACCCAGAAAGGAGAAAATTAATGAGGGGGTTCTGGAACTGGATAAGCTTCCATACAGCGGTTGAAACATTGTATGTATTTGTTTCCATAAATGAGGATCCATTTATGGAAACAAATACATACATGATGGTGTTTCAACCGCTGTATGGAAGGACAGTCCCAGAACTGTCATTAAAATAGTCTATTCTTGACAGGGGATGACATTTCCCTCCATACAGCGGTTGAAACAGCTGTATTGGAGTGAATGTCCCAGAACTGTCATGAAATAGAATACATATGGATGACAGTTCTGGGAGAATTCCACATCCATAAAGACGGTTGAAACACCAGATGTAGAGCTATTTATTAGATAAAAATGGACATTGCAATACACTTTAGAGGAGCGGCTGCAAATAAGCTTTTGCCGGCTATGAGATTATTTCTTAAGTGTACTTCCCTCTTCTTCTGACACAGATTCTCTGGGGAACAATTTGATCCATATAGCTGAGGAATGAGGAAGAAGGAGGGACAGTAGGTATGAAAGGTTTATGAAGAATTGCTTTATCCCAACTGGTCGGAAAAAGATGTATTGTGCCGGGAGAAGCCATAAGTGAAGAAGGAGGGAGAATGGGGTTTCCAAAATGGACGAAATGGAATTAGAGATAGAATGTTTCAACTCGCTGTATGGAGTCCCTGTGAAAGTCCCAGAAACTGTCATAAAATAGTCTATGATCTGAAGTTCTGGGATCATTTAGGTCCATACAGCTGTTTAGAACCGCTGTATAGGGGAGTGGAATGTCAGAAACTGTCAGAAATAGACTATTTCTGACAGTTCTGGGAGAGTTCCTTCCATAAGAGCGGTTTGAAACAATGTGTATGTATTGGTGTTTGAGATGAGTAAGAAGGTCGGAGGATGATCCATTTCATGGAAACAAATAATCATACAATGTTTCAACCGCTGTATGGTTACAGTGGGCCCAGAACTGTTCATAAATAGACTATTTCTGACAGTTTCATGACATTCCAAGATTCCATACAAGGGAAGCGGTTTGTAAAACAGCTGTAGAAAGTGAAATTGTCCCAGAACTGTCAGAAATACTGTCTATTTAAATGACAGTTCTGTGACATCACTTTTGGATCTCCATACAGACGGTGAGATCAAGAAGCTATATGGCATGGAATGTCAGAACTGTCTCTAAAATAGATACTCGAATAATGAACCAGAAAAGGGAATTCAGATCCATACAGCGGATAAGAAGATGTTTGTAGTCTATTAAAGTTTCCATAAATCTGATCCATTTTCTGTAGAAACAAATATCTACATACGATTGTTTCCTCCAATCTGTATGGAAGGTGTCCCATAGAACTTGTGTCAAAATTAAATTGGACTATTAAATGTACAGTGAGGGGGACCTGTCCTTCCATACAGCTGGTTGAAACATGCTCAGAATTTAAGATTCAAAGGAAAGAAATGAAGTTCTAGGACAAATACATATGAACATTGTTTCAACCGCTGTAGGGAAGGACTGTCAGTCACATGAACTGGTCACAAAAGTAGGGTTCTGATTTCTGACATTCCATGACATTTCCCTCCATACAAGCGGTTTTGAAACAGCTGAAGTAGATGTAGTAATGTCCCAGAACTGTTCATAAATAGTCTTATCTGGTTGAAACTTCAAGGGACATTCACGAGTTCCCATACAGCTTTTACAACTTCTGTATTTGATGGAAAGAGTCATGGAAATGTCAGTGTCAGAATATTAGAACAGAAGGAGGTATATGACCAGAATCCCCTCTGGGACTGTCCTTCAGATAACAGAGCGGTTTGAAAAATTAAGAAGAATGTAGATAGATCCCAATAAATGAGATTCCATTTATGGAAAAAATGCATTACAATGTACTCAACCGGCTGTTATGGAATTTGACAGTTCCACAGAACTTGAATGCAGAAAATAGTCTATAATATTAATGACATTCTTCAAGGGGACTGGGATTCCTTCCAACAGGTTTGAAAAGCATCTTAGGAGTGAATGTTTATGTATTCCATAAATCTTTCTTCCATTAAAGAGGTGAACAATCATTTCAATCAATCTTTCATCTCGGCAGAAAGTTGGAAGGACTAGTTCCATTCTTCACGTCTGCATAGGTCATTCCGTAGGGAATTCTCTGAGGCATCTCTTCTCGGAAGAAGAGTGCATCCCTCCATAAAGCTTCTCAGTAGAAACTTCTGTGATTTGTTGGAGTACTTCTGTCCCATTAACTTTCCATAATGACTATGTTCCTGACTTCTGGGACAATCTTCAGTTCCATACCGCTCATCCCTTAGTTGGTGGGACTTTGATATGTATTTTAGATGAAGAGAGATCAGAAGCTTCAGAGGAATTACAATCTTCTTGCAGACATAAGATTTACCTCAAGTCCTTCGCAAAACAGCATTCTGTATGAAAGCATTGGGATCTCCTTGTGTACGTCCTTATTCATCATCCTTTAAATTTAAGCAAAGAAAGAGAATCTGCTAGAAACAGGCAGCCGAAATGAAACCTCCCAGTCCGGAAGGATTGCAATTAGTCTATTAGTACCTTAGAACGAATAGCTTAGATTCTAGAGTCAGGACCAGCAGTTAAAGGTAACATCTGTATCCTAATAGGGAAGGATCTGTCTACAGAAGATTGAAAGGAAGAGGATTCTAAATAAGTCTATCCTAGAAGTAGATGTGAAGACATTAAATAGAAGGATTACAAACTGTGAAGAATTTAAGAATAAAAATGTATTGCAGAAAATCCCTCTCTCTTCCCCATTTGAAGTTTACTGTAGAAGAGCTCCTCTGAGCTCTTCTGATCACACTTAGATTTAGAGAGCTCTGCACATACACTTTTTGCCGGCATTGGAATTATTCTTATTTTCATCCTAAGTCTTCTTCTTCTTCTTCATCCTCATCCTCTTCTTCTTCTTGAGAGAATGAGGATGTGAGAGATGAAGAAGAAGAAGAAGTGAGGTATGAAAAGAAGAATGTTCTAGGATGAAGAGATTGCTTATGTCAAGATAAATTCCCAGCAGAGCTCCTCTAAGTGTATCTGCAGAGGCTCCTCTAAGTCAATCTGCAGAATAGAGGAACTCTGCAGCAACACTTTTTGCCGGCTTGCAATTATTCTTATTTTCAGGAGAACTTCTTCATCTGAATCTTCTAAGAATCCGTCATCTTCAAGGATGCCTCTTATTCTTCTTCTAGAGGTTGAGGATGAGGATGAAAGTAGAAAGAAGAAGAAAGATAGGAATTGAAATGCGAAAGCTTTAATTCGTATTCCCAGGAGCTTGATAAGATGTAAAGTGCAGAGCTCATGTTCTAAGTGTATCTCGCAGAGCTCTCCTCTAAGTGTATCTGCAGAAGTAGAAAGACTGAAAAACTCTGAGCACATACACTTTTTGCCGGCTTGCAATTAAATTCTTATTTTCATCCTACTTCTTCTTCTTCTTCTCTTCTTCATTCCTCATCTCAACCTCAGAAGAAAGAAGAATGATGAAGGATGATTTGAATAAAGAAGATGAAGATTAGAAGAAGAAGGAAAGGGATGAGGAAGATAAGATTAAGGACCAAACAGGCAAAAAGTGTATGTGCAGAAGCATTCCTCTAAGTGTATCTGCAGAGATTCCTCTAAGACAGTATCTGCAAATAGAGGAAAATCTGCACATACAAAGTTTTGCCGGCTTTGGAAATTATTCTTATTTCATCCTACTTCTTCTTCTTCTTCTCTTCATCCCTCATCCTCCGAGATGTGGATAAAGAAAAGAAAGTAAGATGAGAAAGAGAAGACAGGCATATAAAGGTATGTGGAAGTGAATCTTCAGATGAGAGGATGCACATAAGAATTATTCTTTTTTTCATCCTATAAAGAAGAGGAAGAAGAAGAAAAGAAGAAGAAGAATGTAGGATGAAAAGAAGAATAATTCCATGCCGGCAAAAAGTGTATGTGCAGAGTTCCTCTATTTCTGACAGTTCTCTCACAGCTTCTTCACATGTACGAATCGAATATTTCCTGAAATTCGACTCGAATTCCGGTTCGCCTGGTTCGATTCGCTCATCTCTAATTGTGACAATTATTGAGCTAATGAGACCACGTGCCTATGTTAGGTCAATTGATATCGCAAGCATCCCCCTTTATTTTGTGTACATCAGCTGTTCGGGTGAGAAATCTTCCACCCAAAAACTCAGTCTCTCCCAAAGTAACAGCTATCATTTGGTTATGACAAAACCAAGCTCATCACTTGTTGTTTTTTTTTTTATTTCCAAAAGTGACCTTTTTTCAGAGTCCCAGTGAAAATGAAACTTCAACAAAAATATTAGAGTGGAACTAAACAAAGAATTAATCTAACTTCCCAGGGTTTCAGTCTGAGGAGAGTTCACCGAACTTCAAAGAAGTTCGGATGCCGAACCCAAATCCCATTGAAATCAGTAGCCGAATCTGTCAAATTACAAAAGCCTATTTTCTGGGCTATAATAGGCAAGGTGGTGTCAATAAATAGAAAAAGAGGGCGCACAGGGCCTATGCATTACCATAAAAAATGTTTAATAAAAAATAAAGTAGGTTTTGTACTCACAAACGACAATATAGTCAAGGCACATCATAAAAGAACAGCTGGATCAACACCCGCGCTGAGTAACAGTCCGCAATTAGGGAGTATAGACATCCAATAGGCTGACGCGTTTCGAGGACTTGCCTCTTCCTCAGAGCCACTTGCCTCTTCCTCAGTGGCTCTGAGGAAGAGGCAAGTCCTCGAAACGCATCAGCCTATTGGATGTCTATACTCCCTATTGCGGACTGTTACTCAGCGCGGTGTTGATCCAGCTGTTCTTTTATGATGTGCCTTGACTATATTGTCGTTTGTGAGTACAAAACCTACTTTATTTTTTATTAAACATTTTTTTTATGGTAATGCACTAGGGCCTGTGCGCCCTCTTTTTGTTCTTTCCCCCATTCAGTATATTTGGATTTCCCCGGTCCATTTGAGGGCAGCAAGGTGTGCATGTTCCAGGACATTCTTAATGTGGTTGTAGCCTGCATCGAGTCCATCCCCAAGCACAGGAGCAGTTGTGTTTGCTGGTTCTTTGGTGTCAATAAATAGCATGGGGGAAGGGGGGCACTGCTCTGCAAAAAACATGTACCAGAGCAATAAATATTGAAGAAAATTCCATTAGGCCAGGAACACTGATTTTTTTTTTTGTAATGCCTATAGTTAAACATTCCTAATCCTAGTCCTAATCATGTCTGTGAAGGGACAATTCTCTGTTATGTACAAAAAGTGCTGCTGATAAACAGTGTTTAAAATCACATTTCATTGTCAGTTTTTTAACAAAAAAAAAAAAGCACACAGACCTATCCAAGTGTCTTCAGTTATGCTGTAGCATGTTTCTACAGTGAGAATGAAAAAAAAATGCGTAGAGTCCCCCCAAAAACACCCAAAACCCTTTAAGTCTGGTATGGATTTTTAAGGGGCATGAGGTCTCCCAAGATATCCATACTGGGGAAAGAGGGAATTAGGGGCGTTAGGAATGAGTGTGTGACTCCCCCCCCCCCTCTAGGAGCACCCCCCGGCAAAACACCTTTCACACAAAAAAAAATGCAACCTCAAAATAAAGACACCCAAGCATTTTGCAAGTCTTTTTTTTTTTTAATCCCTAAAAAATGCCCCTCATGAGTCCAAAATCTATCCCAATGTCCACCACCCTCCGACTCGCTTAAAAAAAAACCTGATGAGCCGGCACACAAGTCCAATCCTTATGCTACCATTATCTAAATCACAGCTCACAGAGCTGTCATAAGCCATATGAGGGAAGGGGCAGGGACAGTGGACATATCATTGCCAAAATATGGTCAAGTGACCATATTTAAGCATTGATGTAATGTGCTCTGTTCCCTGCCTTTATACTTATGTGGCTGGGGATTTCTGGCCATGTAAGTCAAAGGGCCATCAGTAGATGATAAGGACAAAGGTCACGTTTGTCCATGCCAAACACCCTATATACTAGATGGACCAAACACTGAGATCATCCTCAAACTAAACTTCCCTCCTTAAGGATCTGTTCACACCAATGTGTTTTCTAGTGCTTTTTGCAGAAACACACTGCAGTCCATTTAACATGGTTTCCTATGGAACATGCTCATATCTATGTGTTTTGAGCTGCTGTGTTTTTGGAAAGGGTCAGGGACTTTTTTTTAAAGCAAAAAACAGCATTTTTGCTACAATAGAAACTCAATGGAGAATCTGCTGAAATGCATGGTATTTCGTTTTTGCTGCATTTTAAAATTTTACATTTTTATTCTGCCCAGCAACAAAAAATTCCAGTTAAAAAAAAAAAGCTGGACAAAAACACGGTAATAATGCGTTAAAAATGCATCAAAAACACTTCAAAAATGCATGTAGAAAAATGCAAAATGAACTGCAAAAAGCACTGTAAAATGTACAAAAAGCAAACTGCATGGTGTGAATGAAGCCTTACAGCCTAGGAAGCTGCCATTTTAGCCTCTGTTTGATCTGCAGTTGTCAAGGTGTGACACATGTCACCAGTTATGACACCAGTCATGTGATGACTATAGAATCGGTACACCCAGGAACAAGCAAAGGGTAAATTCACAAAGTGTAAACAGGGATTAGCCTAGCTGTCCAGTTTCAAGTTCAAGTCTTTACATGTCTAAAGTCAATGAGTTACACCCAGACAGGCGTCATTAGACAATGGGACCTGGAAGGACAACGAGACAAACTGGGCAAACAGTAAAAATGGACATGGAGGAAATTATTATGTACATACATAGCATATGTTGACGTTACCATAAAATAGGTACCCTTTGAATAATACCTAAGCCAGGGCTGGATTAACCAATTAGCAAAATAGGCACATTCCAAGGGCACCAAGGGAAGAAGGCACCACAAAGTATTTCCCCAGCTATCATGCCTTTAAAGGATAAGTGCACTTTTAACAGCCCTGAGCTAACCGATCCTACCCTCCCCCCTTCACAGCTATATACTTACTGAGATCCGACTAGCACAACCACCCTTGTATATTTACTTCCTGTATCGCAAGTCCTTTTTTTTCTGTCTGCACAAGCACATTACAGCCCCATAGACCTCTGCAAGGCTCATCTACCTTTATCTCCTGGCTGAAAGTTTATAAAAAGGTTTACCCATTTTCAAACTTTCATTTCACTTTCAGCACTCATTGAGACTTAACATTGTGTCAGTAAAGCAATGGAAGGGCCAAGAGGGGAATATTTGTTAGGCCAAACTTATGGAATCTGTTGCTCTTGTCCAGCTCTGGCCCTAGCCTATACCAATTTTTATGCTTTCAGTCGTAATTACCTGTGAAATAATGCCTAAACTTTTACCAACTCGTAGTAGTAGTTCTTGATGTGTTTTCTCTCTTCTTTCCCAGGAAAACGTGTGTGTTTGGGGGAGGGTCTGGCTCGCATGGAACTCTTCCTGTTTTTTACAACCATTCTTCAAAAGTTCACTCTGAAACCCACCGTAGACAGAAGGGACATAGACATTACACCACAGCCCAACAGCAATGCTTCCAGACCTCGTGACTATGAGATGTTGGCTGTGCCTCGTTTATAGGCAGGTCCAAGCGTTTGGTATCCAGAGAAGAGAGAATGCATGTGGAGGGCCTCAGCAATAGCACCTGACAGGTCTTGAATCTATTTCAAAACAGGGACAATATTTCACTGGAATCATTCTGCTTACTCCACGTTTATGTGGGGATACCACATTATTGTAGGATCTGCTAGAGCTAGGAATTATTATTATTATTATTATTATACAGTATTTATAAAGCGCCAATAGTTCACTCAGCGCTGTACATTACAAAGGGAGACAGAACATGTGACAGAACAATACCAATACAATGCAAAACATGAGGGGATCGAGGGCCCTGCTCTTTCGAGCTTACAATCTAGGAGGAGGGAGGGGGTGGTGGCACAGGAGGAGATAGCTGTGGGGGATGGAGTGGTAGGAAGAGTGGAGGAGGTCGGCAAGTTAGCAGGGGGTGGGGTAGGCTTCCCTGAAGAGATGGGTTTTCAGGGTGCGCCTAAAGGAGAGAGGAGAGTAGGTGATAATCTGATGGGTTGGGGCAGGGAGTTCCAGAGGATGGGTGACACCCTGGAGAAGTCCTGGAGGCGGGCATGGGAGGAGGAGACCAGGGAACTAGAGAGAAGGAGGTCTTGTGAGGAGCGGAGTGTGCGTGTTGGGCGGTACTTGGATATTAGGTCAGAGATGTAGTACGGGGCAGTATGGTGGACAGCTTTGTACGTCAGCGTTAGGATTTTGAATTTGATCCGTTGCGCAATCGGAAGCCAGTGGAGGGATTGGCAGAGGGGGTGGCGGAGACAGAGCGGTTGGAAAGGTGAATGAGTCTGGCAGCCGTGTTCAGGATGGACTGAAGAGGGGATAGCCAGCGGCGAGGCAGGCCAGTGAGGAGGGAGTTGCAGTAGTCGAGTCGTGATATGATGAGGGAGTGGATGAGCTGTTTAGTGGTTTCTGGGGTTAGGAACGTGCGGATTTTGGCGATGTTGCGGAGGTGGAGTCTGCACGATTTGTTAAAGATTGGACTTGGGGCTGGAAGGATAGGTTGGAGTCCAGAATGACACCCAGTACTCTGGCCTGCGGGGTGGGGGTTTGATGGTAGCGTTGTTGGATGTGATGGAGAAATCAATGGGGGGTGGTGTCCGGGGCTGGGGGGAAGACAAGAAACTCGGTTTTTTGGAGAGGTTCAATTTAAGGAAGTGGAGCGACATCCAGTCTGATATGTCGCTCAGTAGGTGTGTGATTCGGGCTGAGACCAAGGGGGTGAGGTGGGGGGTTGAGAGATAGATTTGTGTGTCGTCGGCATAGAGGTGGTAGTTGAAGCCGTGAGAGTGTATGAGTTGGCCAAGGGAGGAGGTATAGATGGAGAAGAGAAGGGCCCGAGGACAGAGCCTTGAGGGACCCCAACAGAGAGGGGGAGTGCGGGGGAGGTGGTAGCATTATAGGTAACGCTGAAGGAGCGTTGTGACAGGTAGGATGAGAGCCAGGAGAGAGCAGAATCTCTGAGGCCGAGGGAGTGTAGTTTTTTGAGGAGGAGGGGGTGGTCGACTGTGTCGAAGGCCGCAGAGAGGTCAAGGAGTAGGAGCACCAGCAGGAATGGTACGTGAATAATTCAGTGTTATATACTTCAGAATATAAAATAAAGTACCCGTAAAAACAGAGCAACCTTTTCTGTTAATGGAAATTTGACTTGCTAGGGTAAAGAATTAAAAACTGAATTTCAACACACATTTGTATATGTTTATGTGAATGCACTTTGCTAATCCCAGTGTGGCTATACAATATAGTTTTAGACTCTTCCTCTCAGATTGTAAGCTCTAGTGAACAGGATCCTCTGATTCCTACTGTATTGAATTGTATTGTAACTGCACTGTTTTCCCTCATATTGTAAATCACTGTGTAAACTGGCACTATATAAATCCTGTATAATAATAATAAAAATTTACCAAACACAAACAGAGCCACCTTCATCAGCTCAATGTAGATCTTAACCCTCATAGGCAAGTTTCCTCCTCTGCATTGTTCCTCCCCTCTTTTACATGGGGAATGCAATTTTTTTTGTTTATTTCCTTTTTTTAAAGAAGATGTTGAGCTTCACCCCTCCGTGCATCTTATTCACCTAGGCAAATGACATGCATTATCCTCCCTCTGCCTTCTGGGATATGCTCTGAGGCATAGTGATCCAGGAAGGAGGGGTGGCGAGCCTATCGGTGCCTCATCAAAGGGCCTAGCGACAGAACCCAGAAGAGCTGGCAGGCCTCATGATGACATCATATAAGAATATGGAGGTGCGAGACTGAGCAGGGCACAAGTTTAAGAGGATTCTGCAGAACACTGCTGGATTCTCTGGACGAGCGAGTATCTGAAATCCTCAAGGTAGGAAAGGGTGTAAAAAAAAAAAAATTACAGGGATGAGCCTGGAGATCACTTTAAAAATGTCTTTACCAGATTGTATTACTCTGGCTGCACTAATAAAAACAGATCCTGTTGGGTTGCTAATAATATGGGACTCCTCGAGCAATGAGCCACAGGCAGTGTAATAAGAAGAGTGGTAAAAAACAAATAAAGGAGTTTTTTGGCAGTGGAGACAAACAATTAAACCATAACATGAGTCATTGTTCAAAATCAAGTAGTAGCTGTGTCTAATGAACAAGTAGAAGATTCTGCCTGCCACATACCCCAAATTTTCCAAAATTTTTGGGGCACCCTCTGTGATCATGGATCAGTCTCTTATACAGGAGAATTTTTATTAAATCTCTGCATTCCATTGTTGTAAGGTAGGCACCACTGCCTGGGGTCCACGCTTTAAGCCTGGCACAAGTGGGTCGAGTATCATCCTGTTCAAAAGATTTTGGTCAACATTTGGCCTGTGTGTACAGCAGTCTGTCTGGCTTCTGTTGAACGGGCATGCTGAAAAAACAGAAGCCAATCAGCATCCAATCATCCCTCAGTCAATGGCTGCAAGCCCTGACCGCTTTGTTCTGGCGGCCCCTGTCTGAACACAATAGCTCAGTGAGGAAAATCCTCTGTTTTTTTTTTTTTTTTTGGTTCAGCCCACTAGGTTGACCAAAAAAAACTTACCATGTTTACCAGGGTTTAGTTATCAGCTTCTTGGCAGTGAACAATAGCAAAAAGGTGCACAGATAAATGCTTAATTATAAAGACTCACGAGGACCAAACAGGCATAGCCAAGGGTCTTGTTGTACTGGGGAACATTTGACATCATGCGAAAATATTTTCATTTGCTACCAGTAAGCAGTTGGAAAAAGAAGCCAGGAGCTCCTGGACACTTAGGACGTAATGGGTTATAAGAAGGTTTATATCTTGCTAACCAAATTGGCGTCAAGTTCAGATGAAGTATAAAATAGATACAGTAGGTGAGCTTATCAGTAAGTCTGGGAGATTAAAAAGTGGCTGTTTAGAATCTCTTTCCAGGTCTCATCATCAACAGGACCCAAATCAGCCTCCCACAAAACCTTATAAGCCACGGTTGTGCCATAGAAAGCTGTGTAGAATTTCGAGAAGCTCTATCCACAATGGCAGCCAAGTGATTATCTGCAAGCAAAGGTAATAAGGGCCCAAACTGTCTGGTGACCACATGGCTAAGTTGAAGGTTTTCTGAAAAAAAGAATATGGCAAGTTAAATTCCCCAAACAATTTTCTTAGTGAGGAATAGTTGGTATCACTGTCAGGTTTTTCTTTTATGTCTTTGTCCTACTTGTAGACACATCGGCAAGTGAGAGGAAATTTAATTGAACTGAGCCTGTGCAATCATTTAAATAATTTTTTTGTAAAAGCAATCCTAGCAGCTAATTAGTTGATGGATTGCTTTTTGCAGGTAGAGGAAACCCCCTACCTCTTTCCGCCACCTTCCTGGGCTCTCCCATCCCACCGGGGAACCCAAGACTTCTGCCAGTGGTTGCACCATCTGACCATAGACCAGAATGTCCCTGATCATCTCTATGGTCTAAGAAATTGCTAGTGACGAAAATGTTGTCACTTCCGATTTTGCCAGTTTTAAGCAAGCCATTACTGGCTTGGGAAAAGCATCAGATCAAACTGATCTTGATGCTTTTAAGGGCAGAGCAGAGATCTGGGGACTAATAGACCCCAGATCTCTCCATAAAGAGGACCTTTGCTATCACAATGGATGTTAATCATCCCTTGTGATAGTCATAAAGTTGATAAAAAAAAGGTACAGTGTAAAAACTGTCTCCCCGCTATGCACTGACTTTCTGCAAACTTAGGGTAAATGCTGTTCTGTGATCTCCACCTTAAACTGTCTCCCTGCTATGCACTGACTTTCTGCAAAACTCAGGATAATTAGTCCTATATCTTTTTGTCTGTTTGTGGTGATTGATTCTCACCTCCTTTGCCTTTATGTGATCAGAGAATCAATCATCTTCTATGACCCTGGCCTGTGTGTGCAACTGATCTGGTTTTGACCAACCTCCCCCCAAATTCATGTGATCCTTATAAGTTTGAAATTGGGGCAGAGAAGACTTGCTCATTTGATCAACTCCCTGTAAATTTAGACCAGCTTAACGGGGAGGACACAGATGGGGGGCACAGTCGCAGACAGGGGGGCATTGTCCTGCGTGAGTGCATTTTCTGCTGGAGTGCAAAACAGCAGTTGAATACAGCAGTATAACTAAAGCAGGATAACTAAAGCAGCAGGAAGATACAACAAAGAACTCTACTGCACATTGGATGGACTGCAAGGAAACACCCTGGAAACATCTCCTACAAGTTTGATTCCCACTCCATGTACCTTTTAATTTGCCCCCACTACTTCTCCTTCTCATATTGCTATCCTCTGTTCTCAAAATCTCATTTCTTTACCCCTCTGCTCCACTCAAAAGCTTATACATATCACCCTCACTACTGCCATCTCCCTACTACTGCTTTCATCACCTCCTGCTAATACTTTACTAACCTGCTGACCCATACACCAGGACAAGAAGGCATGTGCATTCATATCCATCCCACTCCTATCTTACTTTCCTCACCCTCCTTCTTCTCCTAACTTCTGGGATTATGTCCCCAAACCCTGGTCCTCCAGTATCTCACCCTCACACCAGGCACCCTTCTTCCTCTGGGAATAGCCGCAATCCACTCAATTTAATCTCAATCCCTATGAATATCAATCCCTAAAAACCAGCCTCCCTTTTTCATGTGCACTCTGGAATGCCCGCTCTGTCTGTAATAAGCTCACCTCTGTCCATGACTTTTTTATCTCCTACTCCCTAACCTAGTAGCAATTAAAGAAACCTGGCTTCAAGCATCAGATTCTTCTTCTCCCGCAGCACTTTCCTATGGAGGCCTTCTCTGGACTCACTCACCCAGACCCAGTGGTCGGAAAGGAAGTAGAGTTGGTTTGCTTCTATCTCCACTGAGCACCTTTCAAGTCCTCCCTAACCCTCCCTCTCTATCCTTCTCTTCTTTCAAGACTCACTGCATTCGGCTGTTTTCTAAATGAACAACATCCCTTGTGATAGCAATAAGTATGACAAGTTCTCTTTACGGAGAGATCTAGGGTGTATAAGACCCCAGATGTCTCCTCTGGCCTCCAAAGCACCTGATCAAACTGAGATCAGTCTCAGATGCTTGTCATATTGTCAAGAGGTTAAATTGGAAGAAAACCCTATATCTATTCTTAAATGTATTCTGTCCCTTCTCCTCCTACCTATCTTGCCTAACCGGTATAAAAAAGATCTGTATACTTACCTATTTTTAATTCTCTTTGGTCCAGTCACGTGATCCTGCAGCTCTGTGTAAGGGAGAGCTCTGCAAATCCTCTAAACTCCAGGAGCCATCACATCACCTACAGGCTCCCATGGCCCAGCCTTTGTCAGCTCTCTCACCTCTCCCCTCCAGCAGTCTCTCACTAACACAAGGAAGCCAGAGCTGTGAAATATGACCAGAACAGATTAAAAATTGACAAGTATTAAAATCTTTTTTTTTTAATTGTTTACACAGGTTAGGCAAGATTGATCGGAGGAGTGGGAAGGGAACATTTCTAAGAATAGATCTAATTAGGCTTTTCTTCCACTTTAATATTGGATTAAAAAGAAATGTACTCGCAAAGCTATTCTGACATATGCATATTGCTAGGTAAAGTGGAAGTGTCACCTGAAATTTAACATTACCTTCTTTCTCTTACTCCTCCCTGCTGTTTCTTTTTTCAGTAAACAATTTTTTGGTGGTACCTACTCTCACTTTATAGTCTAGGGGAGCATAATGTCTCCTTGGCCCACCCACCCCCTCCTGGGATAACACCATACATTCCAGGAGGCTTGCAGTCTATGGGCAGTAGGTAGCAGGCTGTGAGTTATCTAGAATTGAGTGCAGGATCCTCAAACCAAGATGGTGGCAGGGAGGTACAAGAACGTAGACGTAGACAGCCCAGCTTGAGATCGAGCCCATATGTTCATTGTTTTAAAAAAAAAAAAGAATAGAACCTTTGAAATCACTTTTAAAGTCAGCAGCTGAACTACCTGAATTTATTCTTGATACTCCCTTATGCAGACCTCAGTAAGCTCTGGACCCGCAGTCACTGACAACTATCAGGCACTATCTGCTTAGTCTAATGACAGTTACCAGTCATTTTTAGCTAGAAAAAAAATGGACGCACCCCTTTTCTTTTGCCCCGTGACCTGTGTTCCTGTTCCTCCTGACTGACTTTTCGTTGCTGACCGGCTTGCTTCTAACTGTGCTCTGTTAAATTCGGATACCAACCTTGGCTTGCTTTTGACTATGCTTTGCCTGATTGTTGGTACAGACTTTGGCCTGCTATTTGACCAAGCCTCTGCCTCCTTCCCTGATAAAGACCCCAGCCTGTTACTTGAGTACACTTCCTCCTTTCTAACTGTGTTACCCTGGCTTGCCTCGACTATGTCTATGACCCTGGCTTGCTTCGACTACATATATGACTCTGTCAGTTACCGGCACCTGCTTGTGAGTGTACTCCTGCTCAAATCTTCCCACCTTGTTCCCAAGGATCTTCTCTCGGGTGCTGTCCTGATGTCTGCCAACCATGATCCTTTCCTGGAGGGTCTCACCTGCTACTCGGCTACTGGCACCCATGCTACTTTGAGCCTTGTACCTCTGTCACCACATTCAGGGGTGCTCAGACCAGAAGCACTCTTGTCAGCTCTGCCTCTAACCAAGGTATGTGATAGTAGGTTCTAATATCTTAATCTGTATTATACAACATATTCTCTCTCCCAAACCTCCAAGATATATTTCATTTTGACTGGTGAGTTTTAGAAACATCTCAGACACCTTGATGCTTGTCTTGAAAATGCAGTTCCAGTGGCCATTTTGGCGCAGAGTTTAAGGAGCAGCCTTGTATTCACTAGTGCAAGGAGTGATTGACTTTTCTGTAGCGTGGCTCCAAAATGTTGCCACATGGGTACACTAAGACTGGCATCTTTTATTGACCTTTCAAAAATTAAATTGCTAACAAATAAAACTGCCTTACAGTATGTTTACTTATTTTGGCCTATTTGTAGCTTTGTACTGTCCTACCTACTACTAATTTTTTCTATATATTACACTGCTAATTTTTATTTAAATTGTAGAAAACAACTGGATACATTAACTGTCTGAAGCGTCTTTTGGACAGTACACTTTTATTTTTAGTGTAACAAAACACCTACCTTGTGTCTAATCCTTTTTCCAGTTTTAATCTGGTTACACAATTACCCTGCTAATAGCAAATTTTTCTCTGTGTCTCTGAGGGTTGTTAAAGTCAGGTGATGAAACACATGTCAGGGTTTGGCTGCATGACATATTCTGTAATGAGGCATCCACCTTACATTCCCCGCTGGAAGTGACGTATCGCTCGCGAGCAGCGAGGAGGATCAGTTGAGACGCTCGCTCCATGTGACATACAGATACCCTTAATGGTTGTTGTGGATATTTTGGCATGCTTTCATTTATTTTATGTGAGTGCAATACTTTCTATCCAATAAATGATTTTTAATGGATTAAGGGTATGAATTTCCTTTCACATCTTTCCCTGATTACAAAGTGTAATAGTTTGGAGGATGTCCCGTCATCATATCAGCCTCTAATTGATGAAGGGCTTGTTGATTGATGATCTGTACTATGCTGAGACTCAACACAAGCGCTAATGCCTATCAGGTTTGGATGTGTCATGATATCTGGTGAGTGCCACTAAATTGGGGGAGGTTTTCCTCTGGAGCACGTGGTGATATCTGAGTGCACTTTATTCAGTTATCGTTATATTGTTCACATGGTGATCTCGGTGGATCAATAAGGACTTTGCACTTCATCACAATTTTCATTTTTCAGTTGGTGGTCAAATGATTTAAATATTTGTGTATATTTATTGTTATAAGTGTTATATTTTGTGTCATATTGTGACTTTGTTATTGTGTTTTATACTTTTTTTTTGTGCTGATTTTATTTGTCATTGTTTCATGAGGTGATTATATTATCGATATGGTTGTTGTTACCTCACCCTTTTATGGTGAGGGGGATGGTTTATCCCAAACTCCCCTTATTGGCCCTTCCATGTCAGCTGACCTAAATTCAAAGGCCAGGTAGTGCTTTATGTTTACAAAAAATTCAGTCTGGAGATATCTTGCAGTAGATTGCTAGGATCGTGGTGGTGGCAAACCCAAATCTCACTGTTACTTATCAAGAACCTTTACTTAAATGCACATTGTGGCTGCACATACCCTCTGGTGCTCATCTTTCTTGCAAATAGCAGCCCTGAATTTCTATGGGGTGGAGAGGCTAACATGGTATGCCTAATATAAAGAGCTAGCTTTTTGCTTCATTCACATATTGTTGCTTGGAGGTCTATACTTTACCTACCTCCTGCCAGCTGCATGCATATATGGGGCCTACCGGTGGGTAAGCCTTAACGCCGAGTCACCACACATATGCGTACCCAAAGAAAAACAGAACTATGCTGAGAGCACGCACCGTGCGCACTCCCGGAACAGTTACCCGCGGCTAACAGAAAGTTCCCAATTGGAAAGCTCGATCATGAGCTTTCCAATCATGTGACCGCTATGACAGCCAGTAATGGTCAGAAACCCCACCATGCCTCCCGGCATCTGAAACACCTTAAGAGGCCAGGAGGCGTCGATGCCAAGGGGATATGGTCTAACCAAATCCCCTCCCAAGCAATGTTATCACATGGAGTAATATGACTTGGGAAGTCGTTTTCAACATACAGGTAGGTCCATATATACAGTAGTGTAATGTACTATGATAGCTTGATATCTTTGAAGTTTTTTTGTTGTTTCTTTGATTAATGGCACATTAGATTGCTCACACTAATATCACTGTGTACAAATGCACATTATTGTCAAGCAAGGTGAGAAAAAGTGTACAAATTTATTGGTAAATGATTTTTTTTAAAAAGGCTCTGCTATCTGGGCTCCACATACATTTGATATGAACGAGGTAAAACACCATTTTTTCCAGGTTCTGGAGTAATATCAATATCTGCAGGAGCTTTATTTGTTTTTAGTGAAAATTTTTGAAGTATGGTAGTCAGGAAAAGGAAGATTTCAATTCGAGCCAGACCCTCCCCAAGACAAATTCTCTTTCCTGTAAAAAATAAATGATACGATAACTTTCAATATATACTCATACTTAAAAATAGCAAATAATTTGAAACTCAGATTTGTATGCTTGCACCTGGCTGTAGAAAAGTGGAAATATTAGGCAGAGTATTTGTACACAAATAGGGATTTTTTATGAATGGTAAAATTTACTCAAATGTTGAAATAAATCTATGTTAACAGTCTTACAGGTGTAGGACCCCCCTAGCATAGATGACTAAGCAAATTTATCTTTGGCACCTTTTGTATTTAAGGGAGTAGCAATTGCTTAGTCTGTCCTGTTCAGGATCTCACAGGCTAGGAGTTTAATTGCTTCCCCCTGCCTCAGGAAGAAGCTTCCAGAACTTAGGGCAAGAGATTCAAATTGCCAACCTGAATATTTATTAGGTTCCTGCCAATCCCTGAGCTGAATTTTCCAGAAGGAGGCCAAATGGTAGATAGTGTGAGACATTGGAGAGCAGGGTTCCATTTCCCCAGGAGGGTTCCAGAGATGCAGGGATTGCTGTTGCCAGACAACCCCTTGGACTGAACAGCTGCTTTAAGAGGCCTTAGATGTTCCAGGATCAAAGGATCAAATGTACTTTGCTCAGATTTGATCACAGAACCACACCACGAAGGATCCAGTCCTGAGAGGAGCCACCTCACTCACTGGGATTTGTCTGGGGAAGCTGAAAGGTGGCAGATGTTTTGGGGACATGTTGAGTAGTGACATTGAGTTGATCCCTGAGACTGTGTGCTGGATGCTGCACTGGGTACTGATGTTGCACATTGGTGCAGGGTAACTAGATGCCCAAAGAGTTGCCCCATGGTCTTTAGCTGTGGGGCCTTGAACCGTTCACTTCTAGCAACTATTATTACAGCTACAAAGACTGTCCTCTGACTACTGGCTACTGTTGAGCATTTTTGGAGAAATAAATGACAAAAAAAGACAACCCTTAGACTGTTAATTGGGGCAGGAGTGGATGGAATGTTGTTTGGGTGGCTGGTGGCATCTGTGAATACAAGGGCTGAAATTGTATATTTTCTGGGAAAATTCTGCTTTATGTCCCTTTCTTTGCTGGTGACATGTCTTGAGGTTTCAGCATATGGTTATGCAATGGAGTTCAGGCTAACTCTTCTCTCCCTTTCCCAGCAGAAATCACAAGACTACATGCCTAGGCCTTCAGACATGTGGTCATTCCTGAAGGGAACATGAAAAGCATTCATACAATCATTTTGTATTTGTACTTAGACAGAATGTTCCTGGGAGCCTTTTAAATCACAACCAGAAAACATTCACAGCACCAAATTTACAGGAAAATGTTCAAAAGTGTTTCTTCCAATAAAATAGTGGTACATTTAAAATCTGCAACCATAACCAATGAGTCTAAGAGCATCTTGAAAGAGAGGGTTAATGCCCACTTCATTAGAAATTGTAGTGTTTGATATTACTAAATAATGGTAACAAAGTTACATGTCATGTAACTCAGCATTTGGTTTATGCAGGGATATTTGCAAAAATTTAGGTCATTGTCATTTCAATACCTGTAGAAAATGGCAGAAAGGAATCACTGTTTTTGAAGAGTCCATTTTCATCCAGAAAGTGTCCAGGGTCAAACTGCTCTGGGTGCTTAAAATACTTGGGGTCCTTAAGAACAGAACTCAACAGGGGGGAAATCATTGTACCCTGAAATAGAAGATCCAAACGTTGCTTTTCTTGTTAAGCTATATAACACATATTTATAAAGAGGGATTGAGTATGCAAAATTATTATTTTTTTCACCCAATGTCTGCCAAATCCAGCATCACTTCTTTTTTTCAGAAAAAAAGACTGGCTCTGGATTGCTAGCAGTAAAGTAAATTAGTAAAGAAATCCATTGGACCATTCCCTAGATCACTACCAGAACTGAAGAGCCTTTGCTCCATCTACCATTTCATTAATTATATATCTGTCCATGTTTGAATTTGATAGTCCAAATACTGGCAATAATATTGCTGTGACCACACCCATCTCAATAAATACAGGATGCCTACTGGCTAATTAACTCTGTGACCATAAATGCTCCCCAGAATCACAGCTGCAGTCTTATTAAAATTGTTGGGAGTCCAAAACATCCCTTTAACAGTTCTGTAATGAGCAAACTAGCTGGACATGCGCCTCTAGCAAGCGTGCCCAACTGGCTGGTGATTTGGAAATAGGCAGATAATTGCATTCAGTGTGCAATTCTCAAGACAAAAAATAAAGTACAAAAACATAAAAAAGTAACACTAAAAACTTTTTTTCCCTGTAAATCACCATTACTTTATTTTACCTGATGGCAAAAAGGGCATGCAGGCAGTCATAAATGGACAGATCTTCTACTTGAAATAGAAGGCAATGAGTAATTCACCCATACTAATCAAAATTACTGCATTATCATAACCAGATGCACATGTTAACATGTTGTTGCTGTTGTTAGAGTTTGAATTAATCTGGTTAGAACTGGTTAGAATTAATCTTAAATTGTTTTCCTTTTTGTCAATTAAAAGTGATTTTTGGTAATTGTTAATTGACTTCTTATTGTTTCCTAATGTTGATGCATTGGAGTCACTCCCAACTGGATTAGCACCATGATTAGTAGACTTACTACACTTGTAGAAAATGACTATATCTTTGTATATGAGTGTATATATGAGTGGGTTTTTTTTGGGGGGGGGTTAGGGCAGGGAAGAATTAGAGCCCCTGTCAATTTATTATTATTCACTGCATCTCCACTTGGGAGATTACCATAACTTTTTCTATTTGCCCTGGCGACTACGGTCAGAAAAATAAAAAGTGAAGAGCAATTAAACATTTTACAGTTGTCATCAGAACAGTAAGGGCAGTTGAGTGGTGCTCATAAGCATGCAGTTTAGGTAATCAAATGTATTTGATATTAAACAGTTGTAAATTTTGATAAACTAACCAATCAAAATATTGCTTTTAAAATTGGTATCATTAGACGTTCAGATTAGTCAAGCAGAGCAAAAGAGCCATCATGTTCAATAGCAGTAAAGATCCTTATCTTATGGATTTCAAACATCTAGATTTCCCTACCTTTGGAATTTTGTATCCCCGGAATTCTGTGTCTTTGCTAGTGGCATGTGGCAATCCCCGGGGCACTATGTCAGCAAATCGCTGGATCTCATGAATCACAGCATCTGTATATGGCATCTTGCTACGATCTTCCATTGATGGGCATCGGCTCTGCCCAACAACATTGTCTATTTCCTCCTGAATTTTCCCTGTGAGAGATAGTACACCGTCATTAAACGTGAACTTAGAATGGACAACCTAGCTTTATTTACCATACGATACCAGATCAGTGTCTACATCGCAGGATACAGATAAGGTAAGACTAAAATTATACAATCTTTTTTTCCCTCTTCTTTGGCTACTAGGTCCAAGATCCAATCAGAGTTGAGGAATTAGACTGCATTGAGGAATCACAAGAAGGTCTGCATCTTGGGAGTAGGAAGATGGCAGGAAGAAAGAACCAGAGCATCTCCACCTCAGAAAACATTGCGCTTATTTATTTATTTGTTTATTCATTTTTATTGAAAGGATAAGTTTACCTTTCAACAAAAAAATCATAAATGCACATTTTTTTTGCAGGTAAAAAAGTGCATTTATTATTTTTTTGGTTTTGTGAGCCTGCAAAGTATTGCACCAGTGATCAGTAGATCGCTGATGCCATGCAGGTCTCCTGCAGACCTGTCACTGTATCTGCTTACTTATACCTCATACGAGGAAGCCGATACTGACAGGAAGACTCAATGAACTACCACAGCTCTCACAGCGCTGTGGTAGTTCATTGAGAACTACAAACCGACAGCCACAAAGGCTGCTGGACCTTGTTGTTTTCTCATTCATAGAACACTGGGAATGAGGGATGCAGCCGGATGGGCGGAGCCCCACATGGCCGTGTTTTTTAAAAATTGTGACAGCTAATGGGAGGAGAAGATCCCCCGCTAGCTGTCACAATGGAAGATTGGGGGGGTGCGGGTGCCTGTCCATTTGTAACATGTTACATGTTACACCTTGAATATGGGTGTAACATGTAACATGTTACTAAAGGTGAACTTATTCTTTAAAAAAGTCCCAGAAACAGCAGGAAGAAATATGTAGAAAAAGGAAAGCCAGATGACCACAATCATGAACAGTTTTCATGGTTTACCAGTTTTTGACTGCCTTGGTCAGGCTTGATTACAAGTACTGCCTACCTGTTTGCTCTTTATGAAGTACAGTCATGGCCAAAAGAATTGTCACCCCTGCATTTCTGTCAGATAAAGCACCATTTTCGCCTATAAAATGTTTGCAATTACAAATGTTTCGGTATTCTCATATTTCTTTTGTTTGTATTGGTATGGCACAAAAAAGTGGAGAAACAAAAAGCCAAATCTGACACATTCCACGCAAACCCCCAAAAATGGAATGGACAAAATTATTGGCACCTTCTCAAAATTGTAAGAAATAATTGCATTCCAAGTTTATGATGCTCCTGTAATTTGTAATTAAACTCCCCTGTATCAATTAACGTGCTGAAAATATATAAATTACTCCAGCAATCAGTTAAACTGGTGAAATATTTGCTCAACCTTTCTGTTGTGTGTTTCTGTGTGCCACATGGAGCATGAGCTTGAGAAAGAGCAGCAAAGAATTGTCTGAAGATTTGAGAACTAAAATTTTGGAAAAGCATGGACAGTCTCAAGGTTACAAATCCATCTCCAGAGATCTTGGTGGATAAAGAATCTCGATCAACTTCTAGACAAATTCAAGCTGACCTACAGGCACAGGATACAATTGTATCAGCTCGCACTATATACCCCACTGCTGACACAGAAACATAAAAAATCCAGATTGGAGTTTGCCAAAACTTACCTGAGGAAGCCAAAATCCTTTTGGGAGAATGTGCTGTGGACAGACGAAACTAAATTACAGCCTTTTGGTAAATCCCATTATTCTACTGTTTTCAGAAAAAGAGATGAGGCCTTTAAAGAAAAGAATCCAGTCCCTACAGTCAAAGATGGTCGAGGTTCACTGATGTTTAGGGTTTGCTTTGCTGCTTCAGGCACCAGACGTCTTGACCTTGTGCATGGCATGAATCTGAAGACCATCAAAGAGTACTGGGGTGCACTGTAAAGCCCAGTGTCAGAAAGTTGGAACTTCGTCAGAGGTCATGGGTCTTACAACAGGGCAGTGACCCAAAGTGCACGTCAAAAAGCCCCCAGAAATGGTTTCAGACAAAGCACTGGAGAGTACTGAATTGGCCAGCAATGAGTCCAGATCTCAATCCCACAGAGCACCTGTAGAGAGATCTCAAAACAGCAGTTGGGAAAAGGAACCCTTCTAATCTGAGAAACCTGGAGCAGTTGGCGAAAGAAGAGTGGTCCAAAATTCCAGTAGAGAAGTGTAAGAAACTCATTAATGGTTACAGGAAGTGCCTGATTTCAAATATTTTTTCCAAGGGGTGTGCTGCCAAATATTAAATTGAGGGTGCCAATAATTTTATCCAGTCCATTTTTGGGGGTTTGCGTGGAATGTGTCAGATTTGGCTTTTTGTTTCTCCACTTTTTTGTGTCATACCAATACAAACACATAAATATAATAATGCCTAAACATTTGTAATTGCAACAATTTTCTGGGTGAAGTGGTGCATTATCTGACAGAAATACAGGGGTGCCAATATTTTTGGCCATGACTGTATGTAGGTAAATGCAATTACTATTACAGGCAGATCAATAAAACATCAACTGCCCAGTCCTGAAAAAGCAGTTTTGGACTTCTAAACATGTCAACAATAAGTATGTTGAAATTAATACCCACTTTGGATGTTTGATGATCTTTGGAAGTTTACAGTATAAAGCAAAAATAATTTATACTGTAATTACCGTAATAGTGTGATTTATATACATACACAGTCATCTAATGTATATTTGAAAATCCTTTTTAGTTTTACCTGTCCGATCTCCTCCTCGGACAGGTAAACACCACTTGGTTTTCAGGCAGAAGGCTCCGGTAATATTTCACATTAAGTGTTTCCCTGCGCTGTTCCTGGGGCTCCACCAAGGACTTCGGCGTACAGCATTCCACCTATAGGACCGGTAACCCTTTAAACCCTCCATAATGCAGAGCTGCCTCTTGTTGCTGGAGTAGCACAGCAGTTCCAGCTTTGGATTTGCAGCCTAAAGATAATAAATGTGGTACCTAGAGGCGTATCGCACACTGACAGCCTTGCCAGCAATATATAATTACAAGTACGCCTGTCAGATCTTCTGGAACACGGTGTATAGGAATCTGTATGAGATCGGTACAAGGCTCATGTGGGACCATGAGGGGAAGGTAATCAAAGCGGAAAGCTTCAGGAGTAGAGGAGAGGAGAGGAAGCGTTTCCGATGATACCTTCTACTGACACATAAGGCGTTGTTTCCTATGATTTCTGGTAAGGGTATACCTGCCGATTACAGTAGAGGTGACACATCACTGGAGTTGTGTTGAGCACAGAGTGGAGCACATCACTGATTTTTGCACAGTGTTGGTTTATTTTGTTTTTTGGTTTTGCACAATTTTTGGCACTAAATTTAGAGTGATATGGAATATTGTCATTAAGATAATGCACTATTGTGAGTTTTTTTTTTTTTTTTTTAGGTATTTCCCAACTTATGGAAGCCAGAGGGAAGGCTCAAACATCTTTAAAGAAATATCAAGTTGGAGTTTTACATTGTTTTATTTATTTAAAGTTTGGACTTTGAATGACACTGGATATCAATTTCATTATATTTGTGGGAATGACTTTATTTATTTAATTTTATTTTATAATTTTCACACATTTTGTTTGTATACTTGTATTTTTCTGGAGATTTATTGTTGAAAAATTTGATTGCCACTAAATATAGGGTGGGAAGTTCAGAAGGTGGGGACCCATTCATATTGTTATTTAAATATTCATGCTATTGCATACTTTTTCCAAAGCTCTATATGTTCATTGTACATTGTTTATGTGTAAAAGGATAATTATAGCTCAAAAAACTGATACAGGATTTTTTTTAGTCCAGGACGTAGAACTTTTGGTTATTTTGGTCGACGAGGATGATATTTGTTAGACTTTGGAGTGTTTGTGTTGTTCATAATAAAAGGTGGGAATTTGCCATTAAGTGATGGAGGAAGTGATGTTAATTTTATAATTATTTGTAAAATTTCATTTCTTCATTAAATGCGTGAGAGAAGTTTGGGGTAAATGCTAGGTTCAAGGACATTTTTAGGAATTAAACAATACTATTTATTTAGAAATTATATCTACTAAAAAAAAAATTAATTATCAATTGATCCAGTGGAAGTCAGCGGCCGTTGGTTTCTCCCACTGACTTCCATATTGCTACTGTGATCTGTGGAGGAGGTGAGTGGAAGAAACCACTGAGCATGGCATTCTGTGTGTCAAGAGGTCTGGGATAATCGTTAGATCCATGGATAACCTTTTTAGGAATTACATAATACCCAAAAATATTTATTAAAAATATATTTAAAATATCAATTTATCCAGAGGAAGTCAACGCTCATTGGTTTCGCCTACCGACCTCCACATCACTATTGTGTCCTGTAGTCATATGGAGATCAGCAGAAGGAACCACTATGAACTGTGGAGGGACACAGGAGATTGAACCTCTTGGAAATGATGGCTCCCAGAAGAATTCTACAGTGAATTGTTTAGCAGTGTAAGCAAGAGAAAATATAAGCATTTACATTCTTTTTTACAGGGAGCAGCAACCTTATTTGAATTTTAAGATTTGCAACAGAGTTGTTCTAAGATGAGTATATATATTTATTTTATTTTTTTTTTTTTTTAGCTGTCCCACTTTTGTTTTTGTTGTTTAATCAATTCTTAACACACTCGATAATTAATATTATTCCAAATTAGCAGATTTGTTGTACTGAAATTGATAATAAAAAAATATCTATGAGAACGTTGAGGTCTCCTTACTTGTCACCTCTGTGTGTTTCAGTAGGATGAGGAAGGCATTCTTCAAAGTTACACTGGTGGTTTCCACTCCAGCAAAGAAAAGATCGATGACTGTCCCAGACATGTTATCAAAGTGGAATTCAGTGCTTGGATTATCCTTCTCCTGTGGATAGTTCAAATATCAATAAAGATGATATCATATGTACTCTCCAGAGCCTCAGGATATGCACAGCCAAAAGGGAAGCCAAGGGTATCAGGACAGCGAAAACCAAAGGAAATGCTTCAGGGGTGCAGCCCCATTGACCAGCAAGGCTCCCACTTTTCATCCATTACACATCTGCATCAGATGGTCATTAGCTCTGAGGAAAGGGATTCGTCCCCAAAATGCGTCAGGCATTTTACCGCACTGACAGTGAGGACACCTTGCCTGCCGTTGTGGCCATCGTAATTTTTCTATGCTTTTTAGATACATGCTTCGTTTGTGAGTATGTTTTTATTATTTTTTACTCTTTACAATAAACCTTGGATAATGCACTAGGTGTGTGCACCACCTGTTTTCTCTTTATCAATAAAGATGAATGAGTATTGAAAAAAGAAGGTTCACTGGGTACATCCCCACATTGGATTCAAGTTCTGTCAACTGTCTATTTATTCTGATAAATTTGTAGCATTTTAAGTGGCATTTAATAAATCAAATATATGGCTTGGACACCCGAGTATACCAGCCATCACAGTTGGCATAATTCTGTAATCCTATGGCTGTAATCCCCACAGCATAGGGCTGATTTGTAGCCTCTTGCTATGCAGATGTTATTGGTTGAAAAGGAAGACATCCCTCCAATACAGTGTCCTGCACTTTTAAAACATCAGGAGAAAGTACAAAAATATGGGGGAAGATAGGTGTGGAATGTATTGTATGTTTGACCCTCCATGCCAAAATAATCTAGCAACAGATTCCTGGCAAGTAATTAGAGTCTTAATTTTTCACTGTACTGGATTGGGTCCTTCTGAAGAAAAAAAAACTTGATATAGTTGATGGGGCCCATAGCCACAATCAGATTAAAAATTACTTTGTAAAATAGATTTCTGAATATGTTTGGTTACTTTGGGACAATTAAAAGAGTTCTTAGTAATTACCCTAAGATTGCGAATTTAGGGTTAGATTTGAAGAAACTTGGCTCACCCACATCTTTACACTTTTTGCATCCATGAACAGAAATTCATTATGTCTGTCCTGCGCACAATATTACATTTGGTCACTAGATAGAGCCCAGAATAAATTCACTGTTTTGCAGAAACCAGAATCTATTTAGTTAATAAAATATCCCATCATCCTTCATTCTAAGAAAAGGAAACAGGTGCATCCTGGGAGCTCAGACTCAATTTTAAGAACTGAGGGAGAGAGGAAACCAGCCATCATATCTGCAGCACATGTTGTGGACTAAACTTACATTCCCTACAGACAGCATCGCTGATGAGCATGGACTTATTGTCAGCTACAGCCTAATCATTTCATTGTGTTTTCTGCATGCTTTATACATTGATTACATGTATTTCTTATCTCTTGCATTATAGCTTTGCCACCTTGTTTTGTTAACAGATCTTCAAGATTACATTCAGTCTAGCTTAATACAGAATGGGAGGGCATGTCGAGCGTGTCGAACATGTAGTGAGGACAGAACAGTGGCCCCCCTTAATATTTAATAATTTTTTTCACTTCCATTATCTAAATCCATCAGGCTGGGATCAAAGAGTGGGCAAGCTGCAAGGGGATTTTTTTTACATTTGCTAATTTTTGAATGTCAGTAGTCATAAGCATTATCAACAAAAGTGTTAGTACTGAAAACTGTCTACATTGATCTTAAAGTGGCAGAAAATTTCAACTTTCAAATTCCTGCTATTTTTCTAAACAAATTTTGAATCCGTTTGGCAATGTATAGTGCAATGGATACAAGTCTCACAGCTACACCCCTCAGTACAAGCTCCTTTCCATAGTGTAGATTTTCAGAGAGTGAGAAAGAGCCTAATGGGGTCTGTTACTGGATGCTGATTACTGAATGCATTGGGTCTAAACTTTGGTGCCAGTTAAACTGCACGGTCATATTTAGATATTCTACACTATTCATGTGCTGAAATGATCAGTTTTAGCGAGTGGGCTAGTGTCTTTTTGTGTGTCGTGGTGGGGGCATTGCCTTGCATTGTGCATTGTTTACTTTTCATGTATTGAAATGTCAAAGTAAAATGTTATGCATTCCTATGCACCAGTTCCTATGGACAGTGACTTCAGATGAGTTCCGGAGCAAGTCTGCGTTTTTCCTACATTGCAGTGTAAACAGATCGTGTAGAAAAAAATGTTTTTATGAGCCCTGACAGTGACTGGGGGAACAGTTCTGGACAAATGGAAGAATTGTTCCTTCGTATACATTAAATCACGTGGCTGAATATTAATGGTTGCCTTTTACCCTCTTTCTGTGCCTGAGATAGAATCTAAAAACAATTGCCGCAAATACCTTACCGCCTCCATCTTTATCAGGAAGCTGTCAATAAAGTCCCTTGGACAGGTCATATCGATTGTCTCCTTGTGGCTTTCCACAGACTCAAGAATGAATTCTTTCATTTTGTCTGTGTTTTTGAAGACTTTCTGATGAGGTCCAGGCAGTTTTTTTTCAGAGTTTTGGGGAATAAATTGAGTAACTGATTAAAAAAAAAAATCAATACATAAAAATTACAAAAAGTAGAGCACTGCGATGCGATAGCATTTTTTTGGGGATAGGCAGTATTAACATCACTGTTATACAAATGACAAAGCTGATGTCACATAGTCAGTTTGACCCCCAATCCAGCCAGTAAACCAGCAACTGAATTCCTGCCCTATATATTTGTCTGTTATTATCTACATAGGTCCTAATGATAAGCTGACTTTCAGCTCCTCATCCCCATAGTGTAAATATTGAAAAACAAAAAGAAGAGTACTAGGATTTTAATAGAACCAAGGTTCTCCCTCTCAGAAAAAATTGCAAAAGAACCAAATCATAAAACACCAAAGTATTTATTATATTATGTTAAAAAAAAAACTATTTTTGTGGTACATAGCCAAGTCCAATATTTTAACAATATAATACATACTTTGGTGCTTTATGATTTGGTTCTTATGCGTTTTTTCAGAGAGAGAGAACTTTGGTTCTGTTAAAATCCCAGTACTCTTCTTTTTGTTTTTCAATATCTACACTTGTCAGCTGCTGGTTTGGCAGCTAGTTGACTTCTAGTTCATAAATCAAGAGCCGATTAAGGGGTGTTTTTGGACCCCAAAAATATGTTGGATAGTCTTTTGATTGGCCCCCTGACCCTTACTGGAATAAAGTCGTGTCTGGACCTTTTAGCAGTGGAAATGGTTCCAATTTTCTACAGTGTACTGTCGAGAGATAAAACTATACACAGTAACAATTCCAGTAACAGTTTGGTAAGCAGACTTACAATACCCCATGAAGAAGCAATGGTTGAGAAGAGTTCCTTTAGCAAAGACAAAAGAGTCATGAATTTCTGATCTTCATAGTCAAAGCGTTCTCCAAAAACAATGGAGCAGATAACATTGGAAACTGCCAAACGCAAAAGGTCTGTTGGGTCAAATGGAGAGCCTAAAGAAATACCAAAATAAGGACTCCCATATTAAATCAAAAAGAGAATATTATAAAGACTTATGGTAATTAGTGAAAATTACTGTATGAAGCGTACTGTTAAAATTCTTCAACAGTCAGACAGACCTAGTAAACTATTGTTGATTAATGTTCCAATTTTCATAAAAGGAATATTCTAAAAAGACCATACACACGTAAAAATATCACCAACTTCCATTTTTCCAGAAGCTTTCTCCCAGGCAGCGTGCCTCTTCCTGGATCCGCTCCTCAATGCTTCTCTTCCCCATTCCAAAATCCTTTAGAGAGTGGTGAGTGTGAAGCGTCGAATCTGCTTCCAGCGTTCCCCATTACTCAGGATCACACCTTTCATTGTTCATAAAATTTTTTTTTTAAAATATCATAACTATACTTTCCAACATGTTTACATGCAAATTCAAGAAACTGCTAAGCCAAAGTTCTAATTTTAAGTCATAACTTTCCTTCTAGGAGAGAACATACAATTGTAGCAGTATTTCTAATAGTAATTGGGAAGGCTCATATAAGTCAATTGACAGAGTTGGCTTAAAGGCTCAGTGACCAAGGCAGTTACCATAGACCCAAAGCTTTCATAACTTTCCCTCTTGGCCTTTTCACAAAGTTATCTATTTATTATAAGCATTTATATAGCAAACACAATTTACATATCACTTTACATATTGTGCATTTACATCACTCCCCATCCTCAAAAACTTACAATCTAAGGTCCCTATCTCACAAGGTTGCCTACACACACTAGAGTCAATTGATCTACCAGCATGCCTTTGGAATGTGGGAGAAAACCCACTCAAGTGGGAAGAACATGAAAACTACATGCTGATTATGTCCTGACAGGAATTTGAGGACCCTATTAGAAGTAGTGCTAACCACTAAACCACTCTTATACCACTTGTAGCATCCTATTAGTTCGGTAGGCATCTAGGTAAATGTAGTTGGCTCTTCTGTAGGCAGAGGAGCAGCCAGTTGATTGTGTTGGGCTGTTCAGCATTTCATAGGCTGCTGTTCTGTCACTTCCTCCTGTTTTCTTTAGAAAGCAGTCTAAATATTTATGGATCCCTAGCCACTCCCTGGAAAGGGTGGTTTGGTAGATGACTGGGGAGTTCATAAATATTCAGAGTCCTAGCAGCCAGAGAGCAGAGTCCAGGGTGCAGCTTTCTGGAGGAGATCCCTGTTCTGAGGGCTCTGTCCCTGGGGCAGAGAGAGAAGGAGAGAAGCCCCAGCAGTTTTGTGCAGCCATTAAGGTCCTAGCAAGGACTAGCTGGGGAGCCTACCAAAGAGAAAGATAGACTGGGTCAGCGTTTGGACCAAAGAGCCAGGAGATCTGAAGTGAGGAGGATATATTTCCTGGGACTGAGTGGCTACACACATGGAAGGAAAAATATATTTCAAATATACTTTAAAAATATGCTACAATTCTGGCCATATTCAATATATTTCAAAATATATTTCAATAAATATATATTTTTAAAAATACAAATTTCAAATATACTGTATGTCTTTAAAAATACAAATCGACATTTTTGGAATGGATTTACAGATATTTGTAAACATATATGTTACAATGACTTTAAAAAAATCTGAAGAATATATTTAAATATAGATATTTAAAAAAAATTAAAATATGCTAACATTATAGTTGGTTGCATACAAAGTGAAACTCACCATAATCTTTGAAAACCAGACTTGCTAAATCAGTTTTTGCCCTGTCACTGAATGCATCACTGCGATCCACAAAGGCCTCCTTTACACACTCGCAACCGGCTAGAACAACTAGCGGGTCATTGGCCATAAAGATGGTGAACACTGGCCCATACTGCTCACTTAGCTGGAAAGATATAGGAAAGTTATTATACTATAGCAATTCACAGTGTGACTAAAGATTTCCCTAAGTGTCTAGTGTCACTACTGTACGGAAGAATATCACAAACCAAAAAAGACACTAGACGCTAAATAGAGATCGATGTCTTGATTTTGTGCTATTTACTGGTATAATTGAGCAGTACTGATCGCAGCTATGATTTGAGCAACCCATAACTTAGACGGGGTGGCTTTGCCTGCTCCAAGTAGTTGAACAGAGAGGGGACGTAGTGAGATAAAGGTGAGTATGTACTGCTCGGGAGGGAGGGATTAAACTGAAATTGTTGTGTTACCCTGTATGGGCGGCCATTGTATTACTAAAAAGATATGCTTGTCTTAGAGAAGACAGGTCCAGTATCCTTGAAAGGAACGTCCCTAGCCCACAGGATCGATGTAAAGCTGATTACGCCCTTAAAAACCACCAAGAACCCTTTTAATTTACCTTCCCCATTGACTCCACCTGAGAGACTGTAACATTTCTATGCAGTACTCAATTGTGGTGCTGCACCACAAAAACAACATGTATATAATGAAGCACTACCCCTTTAGGAGTTGCTGAAGTTCCCCTATAGTCCTGCACCGCCAGGCAACACACACTTCCACACTGACTTGCGTCCAGGAGTCATTAACCAGTCCTTGAGCTTGGTTTTTGGGTTTTATTAGGGGAATTTCAACTTGGATGGCATAGAGGGGATGTATGGGATGCACAATGGAACCAAGAAACTGAGGACAACTTCCTGGAATTACACTGCTCAAAAAAATTAAAGGAACACTTTTTAATCAGAGTATAGCATCAAGTCAATTAAACTCCTGGGATATTGATTTGGTCAGTTAAGTAGCAGAGGGGGTTGTTAATCAGTTGCAGCTGCTTTGGTGGTCATGAAATTAACAACGGGTGCACTATATGGGCAACAATGAGATTATCCCCAAAATAGGAATGGTTTTTACAGCTGGAGGCCACTGCCATTTTTTGCCCTTTTCGTCTTTCTGACTGTTTTTTTCACTAGTTTTGCATTTGGCTAGGGTCAGTGTCACTACTGGTGGCATGAAGTGATACCTGGACCCTACAGAGGTTGCACAGGCAGTCCAACTCCTGCATGCAGGAAGTTCCTGAATGATGAAGGAATTTATACCACTGAATGGTCCCACACTCGCCTGACCTAAATCAAATAGAACATCTCTGAGATATCATGTTTCCATCCATCCAATGCCACCAGGTTGCAGCACAGACTGTCCAGGAGCTCAGTGATGCCCTGGTCCAGGTTTGGGAGGAAATACACCCTGGGACACCATCCGTTGTCTCATTAGGAGCATGCCCCAACATCGTCAGGCATGCATACAAGCATATGGGGGCCATACAAACAACTTAGTACCATTCTGAGTTGCAGCAATGAAATTTTAGCAAAATTGGACTAGCCTGTTGCATCATTTTTTCACCTTGATTTTCGGAGTCAATTATAAAATCCCTCTAGTTGATTTTCGGAGTGTCTTTGAATCCAGTCCTCTGTAGATTGACAGTTTTTATTTCCATCAAACGATGGGGCATCCTTACATTCCTAACCCATTACCTGGTCCACATAAGTATAGATATTCAGCATGATATTTTTCCCTATTGAGGTCTGATGTGTTTTTAAAGTGTCCCTTTAATTTTTTTGAGCAGTGTATTTACAAGTCTCTTTAGGAGAGCTAGCGTCTCCTGTAGTACCACCTCAGACCCCAGATAAATCCTCTTCTTTGCTCAGCTGCCTGGAGGAATCCCTGAGCAGGGGATCCGGTGTCTAACAAAAAATTGGTGAAACAGTCCTGGGTGGCAGGCTAATCCAGCTAACCACTAGAATGCCTCTCTCCACTTTCTGGCTCAGGGGTGCAGGTCTACTCACTCAGTCATTCTCCTGAGTGGCTGGTTGGTTGGTGGCTGCTACCCGACCTTCTAGCTGGGCAAATTCTTCCCTACTACACAGGTAGTCCTCATTCTGAGGGCCGGTGAAGGTCCTTAGCTTTCCTCTTTCCAAGCTCCACTGTATGTAGTGAGTCCCTCTCCATCTGTTTCCCCTCCCAGGCTTCTATTTCCAGCCTCACATCCTCTCTATCATCCACCCAAATTCTCCTGCTGCTAAGCAGGTTCTCTCAGTTTTAAGGGTTGTTCTGGCCTCTTGCCAAGCCTCCTGTTGGGGATTGGCCAGAATCCCTCAAAAATTCAGATTAGCTACTCCTCAGATCCACCCCCTGCTTCTCGACCTTTCTCCAAAGTTCTAGAGCAGGGGGAAGTTCCAGAGGGCTGGTCTGAAGAGCCTCTCAGCTCTGACCATAGTTTGAAGCCTGCTAGCTATCACACCCAGGTTGCTACTCAGCCCTCCTTGCTAACAATTGGAGTCTACCTCCCCCTAACTGAATTGGAGGGTGCTACAGTAACTATAAGTCCAAATATACACAGTTTTGCATAAATGTGACACTTCCATTATGTCCTATTGTGCTAATTCGGTGTCATCATCCAGTGTCCTTGAATTAACTGTCACTTTTCAGTGCTCTTACAGCAATACAAGACATATGCTCCCTCCACCATCTGTGCTCTCACCTGAAATCAAATTACCTTAATGTATAGTATGATCAGTAAGCGCCTTTGTCCCTCAAGGACCAAAAGGGATGCTTCATATTGGTCTAAAACATTTCTATGTAGTCTGGACTTTATTTTTTTATTATTGTGGATTTGTATTCCTATGTGTTCTCCCAGGGCCAGGCAGAGGGCTCAGATCCTATCCTTGCAGCTAAAGCACATTTATGGATGTGACCCAAATTATCTGTTATTGCCATAATATTAAAATATTGTCACTAGTGGGACTTTTGTTTAGTTTGAGTCTATACTTACCTTCACCAAAGACTTAGGCAGTTCCTTAGTGCTCATATGCAGCATAGTTCCCAGTATTGGCAGTGGTGGTGGTCCAGGGGGCATATCCTT